GGCGTCGTCTCCAGTGCTCCTCCTCCTCGCACTGAATTCGGCTTGAGGAGCAGTCCCAACGGATGTGCATAGATCTGGTGCAGTATGTCGCCCACGTGCAACAGTAGAGCAATCCCTCTGCAAATTGAAGATGTGTGTTGAACTTAAGAAATATTTCTGCATACACCCATGGTTAAATCAATAAGTGCACTAGCTTGCCTAAATGTGATGAGAATGTACCCTGAATCCAGAGTGAGTTTGGTTCTGATATATTAGTAAATAAAAATAAAGTTTAGACAAGCACACCTCATTCGAGTGATTGTTCCTATGGCAGCCACATGATATAGTGTTGCGATATGTGCTTGCTATAGCGAAAGTTCGGATATATTCCAAGTTCCAAGTGATCAGGATAGCTTAAGGAATGATGCTGATCGAGACGATATATATATAGTTAATGGGGTTCAGAGATTTGTTCTACCCCTTCAAGGATATAAATATAAGGATGATTTCTAGTTCACGCCACTTACTTGTAGGTGAGTTGGCCCAAAGGACAGCCGCGGTCCGTGGCTGGTAGTAGGGGAAATCCGTGAAGCGGACCCACCTTGCTCCAGTACATGTGATTCGAGCCCGATGCGGAACTGCTGGAGTTGTGCAAAATGCTGCGATATCTGCCAGAAAAATGTTTCAAAATCACAGAGTTGGCCGTCAAATGCATCTTTACCTATTGACCAAACTGTCGCCATCGGCATTCACACCACAATTGATGCCACCAGCATGGACATGCGACATTGCACCACGATCGCCATGCCTGATGACGAGCAGGACCCCTGCAGCTTCCAGCTCTCCAGCATGCCACCATCATCCACTCGAGTGAGCTATGCCAACGGCGCACAGCGTTCCCGATACTGTGCGAAACGCTGAGCACTCGACGCGAATTCACTTGCATCCGAGTTGGCTGTGCCCGTGTTGAGATTATAGTTGCCACCGCCGCTGCCCGGACTGGCATTGTGTTCAGCATTGCCCATGTAGCGATACATGCCTGCCACAGAAATAAACATTTGGGCTGTACTTGATAGATGTGGAAGATATGCTCCATATTGATCAACTCACCAGCTATAAGCAAAAATATCCAAATGCTGAGGAACATGTAGCAATAGAAGGTCCGTGGTTGCGTCGTGAAACGCGTCAGTTCCTTGAGAAGCAGCTTCATTATTACGTCCGGGCAGCGATAACGCCCACATGTACATATAAATATATTTGAATATATATATTTTCTGTTGCGGCACACTGGAGGGTCTGGTAGAAGATAGTGTACAACAAGCGCTCTCAGATGCACAATATGGCTTCCGAAAAGGTCGGTCTATAGAGGAAGTAATCCAAGCCGTTGTGGATACCGCAAAAAAAATCCATAGAAGGAACCCGATGGAGGTGGGGTGATAAGGAGTGCTGCGCTGTTATAACGTTGGACATATGAAAAGCCCTCAACTCAGCGAGCTGGACGTATATTATGAGAGCACTAGACAGTATAGGAATCCCAGATTACATATCTAGCATAGTCTCGAGCTACCTTTCGGAAAGGGTCCTGCAATCTGACACAACATCACGGCAGGCGTACCTCAGGGGTCGGTCCTAGGGCCACTCCTGTGGAACGTAATGTATGATGGAGTGCTTAGACTACAACTACCGATCTGGCGCTAGTAGTTGTTGCAAAGGAAATAGAGCAGGTCGAGGCGACAGCGAACGATGCTGTGTAAAAAATAGCCGAGTGGATGAAAGATGCGAAAGACGTCACTATAACCTCGAAGGAGTCCACAAAGTACCTCGGAGTCCTACTCGACAACAGGCCCACGTAGAGTATGTCTGAGCACGCTGCGAATGATCTCGGGCCTCCGCACAGTTTCGGATGAAGCGGCAGTAGTCCTAGCCGGAATGCTTCCACTCGACATTCCGGCCAGTGAGATGAAGCTCATGAGAGCAAGGAGAAACTCCCAGGAGGGCACAGTTTCGATAGCCGAGATTAGACGATCGGCGGGGGAAAGGTGGATTGCCGCATGTCTGACGAGGTGGGACGCAGCCTGCAGAGGAAAGTAGACCCATCGGCTGATCCCACATATAGAGGAATGGAGTATCCAGAGGAAAGCAGGTGAGTTGGATTACCATCTAACCCAATTTCTTTCAGGTCACGGAGGAGTGCCCGACTTGCCCATCGCTGAAGCAGTATCCGGAACACGTGATGTACCATTGCGTGAGGTACAGGGACACTACAGTGTTAGAGTTCTTGGTATGGTACGCTACATGACGGAATCTCCGTCACACGGGAAAGATGTCCGCCAGCTCATCGCGGGTGTGAGTGGGGTGTTACTTTAGTACGTATGCATTGACGTTGTCTTTGAATCGTGCATGCAGTTGCCCCGGGCCTTCTGCATCTGTATATAGGAGATTCTCACCAGTGCGTAACCAAAAAAAAACAAAAACACACACACAAACAACACACACACACGTTCAAGTGCAGTCAACAGTAAAATTGCAAAATGCACTGCACAATCTTGTAGTCAGTCGCCGTAACTAATAAGCCCTTAAAGTATGCCGGAAAAAAATTAAAAAATATGCAATTAAATATGCACGAAAGATTTATCACATATTTATGGCTATTGTCTTTTAATACAGAATTTGACTGCGATATTAATTTGTAATCAAACTTTATTTCTTTAATTCGATTTCGTCTTAAATTATTTCTGACGACTCAACATTTTGTAGAAAATTGGGAGCAGCATCATCTGCATTTTGATTAAAAGCACTGAAATAAAAATTGAAAACTTGGGCTTTATTGTTATCGAAAATCGATTTGTACTGTATGTGTTTTATTGTTATTTTATATTATTATTTATACAACATTTTAGCGTTACATAGACAAGAAAGAGGAAGAAATGTCATGATAATAATATTTAAAATCTAATAGAGGAGCTATAATGTTGGTGCTATGACCAAAATTGATAAAATTGATAATCGTAAATCGATAAATACCACATATCTCCCACAATTTAAAATCTATAGCCACCTGTGGTTACTATTTGGTTGGTAGGTTGTTAGCGATGTCCGTCAAAGACATATTAACGGAAACTCCCTTTAAATATCGATTTAAATTTAAAATTGTATGGTGACATTTAATGCTACCTGGGGGTGTAAATCGATACAAGCATACAACAAATTTTAAATGAAAATTACTAGTAACACCCTTTGATGGGTCCCAAAAATCAGAAGAGCCAATATGGGTAATTGTCAAAATTGGAATATATATTTCTAGGAACCCCCGTCTAAGCCTGGTAAAAATATTTCTTGGCCCCACCCGAGCGGGGTATGCAAATGCAAAAGCCTATGGCCAAGGAAATTTTACAAATTGAGTTACCTGGCATTTCAATGACTATTCAATGGTAGAGGCACACACCACCCACTGAATTTCTTTGTTAGTATAACTCTGATATCAGAGTGTTCCGCAGTCGGTAACGCCTGTGTAACTGTAATGTACTCACTTGTTTTTTCTTTCCAACTGTAGCACAAATGAAGTTTGAAAGACATCGATAAGAAGAGAAACTACGAATTTTTTTGAATGTTCATATTTATTTATTAAAAATATTAGTCGATGCTAATATAAGTTATTTACGTTATACGCCCAATAAAGATGGAGTCGTTGCCGCTCCAATCGCAGGCAAACCCTGCATACAAGGCAACGCAGGGATGCAGGAAGACAGTATGGCCAATCCAATGGAAATTAGTACGTTCAACGGCAGTATACCCAATAACCCGATCAAGACGGACGAACAACCCAACGACGTCAATATCGATGTAAGCGATGTCAAGCAGTTCAGCGGAAGTGGCTGAGCATCTCCCGATGGAAGATAGACAGCAAGGATCGCCAGAAGAGCACAGCTCAAAATTACGGTTTGGGTTCTCATCTTAGTTGAAGTGTTATTTGGTAACGTTGTTAACTCGAGAATGATATGAATTGATCGAGTTGGGTGCGCTTTTATAGCATCTCAAATTTTGAAAAACACTCGCAACGGTTTGGGTAAATCCACACAGATGTTAACGGTGTTTCTTTGTCAAACATTGTATTTTTAAAGGAGTTTTAAAGATGGCGTTGAATTATTTATTTTTGTGCATTTTTTTATTTAGTCAGTTGCATATATATTGTATTGTATATTGTTACAAACATAAATAATCGACATATAAACATTTAAAACAATATTCAGTTCATTGAAATATATAAATATTTAATATTCCATCATTATTTGAATTAAAAAATAAACAATTATGTTTTTAACTTCGAACATCTGTTCTATAAAATTAGTCAGCTTATAGCCTAAATTATAAAAAAGTTCGCTACAAATTTGTATTATGTTTGGTTTTAAATTTATTATTAAATTGCAATTATCCATCTCCAGAGTTATCTAATCTAATTACTATGCAGGTCCTGGAAAGTATGTAAATCTTTTGGATACCTCCCCCTCCAACGTACATTTGAATTTAATGCTGCTATCTTTACTCTCTTTGTGGTGGCCGCAGCAATTATTTATAACCAAATTCAGCATGAGCCAAATGAAATATTGGATAACAATTAATTGGTATTAAAGAAGCGCTTTTATCAGCCTTAATTGCTTAGAGACAAAGATAATAATATTTCTTGACATTGCTCATTCGGAGGGCTCAATAACATAACTCAGCAAAGATCTTTTTGAATAACTCGTGGCCATCAACATAAACAATTGGACCACCATTAAATCCATTATGTTCACACACATTGACTAATAACTAATTTATGAGCAATAGAAATACGCCAACATTTTGCTTTCAAGTCATTGGACTAATGGAAGTCCTTAATCGATGTAATTATTATAAGAACTGCGTGACCATTAATAGTATAGTTTTAACAAAATGTATCAAATTTGTACATGATTAATTAAATGCCACAAATTCTCTAATCAATTCAATTAAACACTTATTTTGTTCGTTTGGGACAACATTTATTGAAATACTTAACTGCGGAATAACATATGTTGTATGTATATATGTATGTATATATAAACTGTATACTGCTGATATGTAAGGTTTTCCAAGGAGTAGATGTACTCGCCTGAAGATCTTAGCCAAAGGATAAAGGATAAGAAAACGATTGCGTTGGATTGGAAGCCATCGCTGATATGTATCGATTTACGGAACTTAAATGTCTATTAAAATACAAATACAAAGTTCGTAATATTTAGCTGAAGTTCGGCTAATTATGCATCTATATGTATATGTATATGTATATGTGTGTGTATGTAGTTGGGTATGTACTTATATGTATGTGCCCAAAAATTCCATAAAATCAAGCTGGATTATATGAAAAATGTTATTTTGTATATGCTTGACAGGCTCATGGCTTACGCCTTAGCTATTACTTATCACAGTTGACAAAGTGCGTGGAGAGAGATGGAACTGTTAGAAGTCGTTCGCCTTGGCTGGGCTGCCAATAGATGCTGCGCAGGCCTCTTTGAAATTGGTCGCATTCAATGGGCCAAAGTAGTCCTCGTGCAGGAACCGAATAATATTCTCAATGGGGCACAGGTCGGCCTTGTTGCCGCGACTATCGCGCGTCACACGCAAACTCTTGCCACCCTCACAGAACTCGATCTGCTGGGTGACATCCCGGCCATTGTGGACGACACGAAAATAATAATCCGTATGCGCCTCGCTGCGATAGACTTCAAAGGCCAACCTCGAGGCATATGGAATGGTTTGTCCCTGTGCATTTTGTATGCCCAGTGCAGCGGTCAGATATTGCATGGTGCAATCGTGTCCGGAATAGAGCACAAATTTCGTCCGATCACCGGAGATCATCTTCAGCATATAGCCAACAATATGTCGGATCATGCCATAGGCGCGCAGTAAACCGGAACGCTTGTAGTAGACATGACGAGCGCTGCGCAGCGAGAGCTCATCGGCAAAGGACATGAGTGCATCCACATGCAATGCCTCCACACATCCATCCGACTCCTGCTGCTGTTCATCATTGGATGGAGCAATTCCATCCGCTGCGGGTGCAGCAGCACCAGCACCAGCAGCATCATCAGCAGCAGCAGCAGCCGCTTGTGGCGCATTGCCAGCCGTCTCATCCTGATCAATGTTGATGACATCAATGAGATCCTGATTCCTGGTGCTCGCCTCTCTCATCTGGCTGCCATTGCGTCGTCGACAAGGTAGCGTTGTCGCCTCATGGCACAGCACCGTTAACATGGCATCCACCACCTCGAAGGGATTCGTTACGCCACCCTCAGTGGGCGCATGTTGCAGCAGCGTGCCACCAATCCATTGCATCACGGCCAGCACATCGGGACGTTGCAACAACTGACGATCCGCCAGCTGCATCAGCCGCTTCCTCAACACCATCGACTGGGCGCAGCTGCAGTCACCAAAGCAGAAGGCCATACTATGCGATTCCCTGACATTCAGCGCCAACCACTTCTCCGCCGGCAACAGGGCAAAGAGCAACGCCAGCGCCGATTGAAAGGTGCGACGATAGCGCGTCGTGAACACAACCACCTCATCCGAATTGAGTAGCGTATGTGGCGTCGTCTCCAGTGCTCCTCCTCCTCGCACTGAATTCGGCTTGAGGAGCAGTCCCAACGGATGTGCATAGATCTGGTGCAGTATGTCGCCCACGTGCAACAGTTGAGCAATCCCTCTGCAAATTGGATGTGTGTTGAAACTTAAGAAATATTTCTGCATACACCCATGGTTAAATCAATAAGTGCACTAGCTTGCCTAAATGTGATGAGAATGTACCCTGAATCCAGAGTGAGTTTGGTTCTGATATATTGGTAAATAAAAATAAAGTTTAGACAAGCACACCTCATTCGAGTGATTGTTCCTATGGCAGCCACATGATATAGTGTTGCGATATGTGCTTGCTATAGCGAAAGTTCGGATATATTCCAAGTTCCAAGTGATCAGGATAGCTTAAGGAATGATGCTGATCGAGACGATATATATATAGTTAATGGGGTTCAGAGATTTGTTCTACCCCTTCAAGGATATAAATATAAGGATGATTTCTAGTTCAGGCCACTTACTTGTAGGTGAGTTGGCCCAAAGGACAGCCGCGGTCCGTGGCTGGTAGTAGGGGAAATCCGTGAAACGGACCCACCTTGCTCCAGTACATGTGATTCGAGCCCGATGCGGAACTGCTGGAGTTGTGCAAAAAGCTGCGATATCTGCCAGAAAAATGTTTCAAAATCACATAGTTGGCCGTCGAATGCATCTTTACCTATTGACCAAACTGTCGCCATCGGCATTCACACCACAATTGATGCCACCAGCATGGACATGCGACATTGCACCACGATCGCCATGCCTGATGACGAGCAGGACCCCCTGCAGCTTCCAGCCCTCCAGCATGCCACCATCATCCACTCGAGTGAGCTGTGCCAGCGGCGCACAGCGTTCCCGATACTGTGCGAAACGCTGAGCACTCGACGCGAATTCACTTGCATCCGAGTTGGCTGTGCCCGTGTTGAGATTATAGTTGCCACCGCCGCTGCCCGGACTGGCATTGTGTTCAGCATTGCCCATGTAGCGATACATGCCTGCCACAGAAATAAACATTTGGGCTGTACTTGATAGATGTGGAAGATATGCTCCATATTGATCAACTCACCAGCTATAAGCAAAAATATCCAAATGCTGAGGAACATGTAGCAATAGAAGGTCCGTGGTTGCGTCGTGAAACGCGTCAGTTCCTTGAGAAGCAGCTTCATTATTACGTCCGGGCAGCGATAACGCCCACATGTACATATAAATATATTTGAATATATATATTTCCTGTTGCGGCACACTGGAGGGTCTGGTTGGGTCTTGGCTTCTTGCGCGAATCCTTAGAAATCCACAATTTCTTGAATTGTTCGTGAAACAAAAAAAAAAGGAAAAGCAACCACACCAAGTGGTTGGTCACAGTGCAACTGTCAAACAGTTACGTGGAGCATAACTAATTTCGGAGCATGCGCAATTAACAAGCAGCAAGACACGGTTGGGGCATGAGTGTTCGACCACTCAGTTACCCTGTATCTAATAGACCGCACACATATGTATATACTTGTATTGTATTTTTATATTATTTACATATATATTATTATTTTTATCTCTATCTCAGTATACTACATACATTCCCTACTAAGTTAGAGTTGAAAATTTGCTATGATGATAGACAATTTTTACTGATATTGAGAAATTATTTTTTTTCCATTTAAAATTTGAAAATGCTCGAAAAGCTTAATTGAAAACAACAACTTGAACGGTGTACAATGACATGTAAGCAATTTTTCTTTAAATCGCAATGAAATAATTTTTTTTTAGTCCACCAATCTATTTTAATCGGCTTAAGAGAATATTTTATAAATATAACTACATCAAATTAAAGCTTCTATTGGGATTTCAAGATTTCAACCAGAATGTTTCAAAGGTCTTTCCATCTTTGGTAATAAGAATTTGGTGCGAGTACCTGTCACAAAAATTTGTATATCATCAATATACCACATCCGAACATCCTTAACGCTTCCAGTATATATATATATATATATATATATATATACAAAAAAAAAAAAAACAACAGTTGGTTGATTATACATATTCAGTTCTCAAGCATTTTATGCGAAGTTTTTTTTTTATATCTTTCGAAACAAAATTATATGAATAAGCGATAATAATAATGACAATTTTGGGCGGGTTAATATGGCCAAGAGCGAATCTTCAAGCGCTGCTCATTGGCCTTACAAATGCGTTAATAGGCGTATGTTTTGATCAGAGATCATACAAATATTTAGTATATATAAATAATTTATGCTTCGGTGGCAGCCAGAGCCAAGACTGTAAAACGCAATTCATCTGGATCCCGGGCCATGAACTCCTTACACACCTTGGCGGCATCACGCACAAAGGTCTCCGCCGATGTCTTGCCATGACTGACTGGATACGATTTGCGGCCATCCAGCTCGTATAGGGTATCCTCCTTGTTAACAAGTGCAATGAAATGATGAATCACTTTCTCATAGGCGGCTGCATCAGTTTGTCCCTCCAGGGCCAGCTTCTGATGGTCCTCGGTGAAGGCCTTGTCTTTCTCCAAGGCATGACCGCGTTCCTCCGGCGATAAGGCAAGTCCATTATCCAGGAAAGACTTCAGCACACCATCAGCGATATCAATGCTGTAGGATTATGCATACAAAAGGTATATTAGTTGAAAATATTGATCGCTCAATTTTAAGATGCATTCACAGTTGTTTTTCAAATTCATAAAAGACTAAATGGAAAAATTCGATTTTAAACTTTATAAACGAACAAGTTAACAATCATAAAATACTAATTTTAGAGCATTTTAAAAAGTTATGTAAATATCTGAAACTTTGGTAAATGGCAAAAGCAAAAATATTTCTCTATCAAATCAAATAAAATATGCAACATTTTTTATTTCTGTCCGAGACTTTAATTTGTGAGCAATCATTTGATTTACAGTTACTTACTCTTTATTGTTGGCCACACTGTGGATGAGAGCAACGGTGCCACAGGCATTATGGGTGAATTGACGCATATAGAAGAGATCTTCCGGATGCTTTTCCGGTTCAGCGCCAGCCATTATGCGTTTCTTTTCCTCAGCGCAAAACTCTTCATACTGTGCACAAGCAAGCATAATTTAACATAATAATTTGTAACGCCTTCAATTGCAAATATAAAATGAAAAAAACAATTGCAAATTACCTTTTGGCTGATGGGAAAGAGGAGGACGAGAGCCTTGACGGGCATTGGCAACATTGCGAGCAACTCATCATCCAGACCGATGACGTCAATTACCGACCAGGACGGCGACACGCCCAGCTTGTGTATGTATTTGGTCAGCACCTGGAATGGGAATAGCAAATATAACGGGACATCGACATAATGGCGTCTTTTTTGATTTTCAAGTTTATTTAATGGTTGCATTGCTGCTCGCTTTGGGGACAATGAATTTCGTTTAGCTTCGATAAGCTCTCACCTCCGGGTTAGATTCCAATGGTGTCCAGATTGACATTTTGAAGAAAAAATTTAATATTTGTTCAGCAGCACTTCTAGACAAATTTCGACCGAATATTTTTTTTGGAAACGTCTGCTAGTAATGACCGGCACTTTTTTTTGAGAGTCTGCTTGTGTTAGTGCGTGTCTATTGATTCATATCGATAGTTAGTTCGATATCGATCATGAGAGCTAGATGGCGCCAGTTGTATACTTTTGTGTTTCAATGAACTGTTTCTATAACTTTCATGGGTTATATATAAATAAACACACTTTTGTGTGTTGTTGTGAATAGTGTGTATGCTGTGTGATGTTGTCAAAGATTTAGTCCCACATGCTCTGAGCTATTAATTTCAGTAGTATGTAGTTATTTAGTTTGTTATAAGCGATGTGATTGCTATCGATTTGTTCTCAATAAATCAAATATCGATAGCCATTAAATTGCGTTAAGTTCTTGCTTTTGTTTTGATTCCAAATTCGTTAAATTGTTAAACATGCTGTGATTTGTGTTTGTAACAATTGGCTGTCTTGGAAAATGGACATTTTGAACACCTCCCTAACGCCCATGCGCTGTAAGTGTGTGTGTGTGTGTGTCAATGACTTAAGCTTATTAAAAATATTATTTAGTTGATAGCCACCGTTTGCAATCTCCGATAAAATATGATGCCAACTTGGCTACGTGCAAGGCTCGACTGGAAGCGCTGATCAAGGATCTACAGAGTAACTATGCCAAATGGCAACTGGCTCAGCAGCGCGGCACCGCCTTGTGCTATGCCATCGAAGCGAAGAAGACGCGTTGCCCAGAAAAGGGCGACGAGGAGAGCGGCAATTATCCCGATGATCTTCGCGCACCCTGCGACAAGCTTTCCATTATCGCAACCATATTTGTGGATATTTGCAAGAACACTCGCGATATTTTAAGAAAATTGCGTGGCTTAAGCCAACTGTCTGGCGCCGAATCAAATGTGATTTTTTATCGCACCTGGAAACTGACACAGTTTGTTTCATTCACCGAGCTGCTATTGCAGCGATACGAACAGGAATCGCTAGTCAAACAGGATGTGATGCGTAAGTTGAACAGTTGAGAGTGCCCAGCTGGAAGATACCCTACTTAGTGACTTATCATGCATTTGTACCTACTTAACTAAATCGGCTCATCTATTTATGTCATACAACAACCTATACATACCATATTTAATATTCCCATAAAAGTGTGGAGTTGGAAATCGATATTGATAGAGGGTTAGGTATTTATATTCCAAAATTGAGGTCTTGCTTAGAATCTCAAAGATAGTAACTCGTTTACATGCGCATATCAATCTATATTTTTCAGAAAATATAGCACACTGCACCCAAAGAAGTAATCTTGTTGCGTATACCACAGCCTGGGAATTCCCGGATCATGTCGACGCTTATTTAAATTTGGCATTTCTGCTTCTGGCTGAAGAAGTCAAGACCATGTAGCATAACTTAAAAAAAGTAAATGTTATATTTCAATTGTATAACTATGTCTATGTGTATTGGAGTATTTTATAGAGATTTCACTGTGACAAACTTAATAAAATAAACTTTGCACTTAAGCCATAAATTTGCTTTTGTATCGAGTGCTGAACTGAAAATTATAAACTAAAGAGATTTGGCAGCCTTAAGCACGAATTTGATTGCTTTGAATAATTCTTAATATTACATTTGGAGAACATAAAATATACTTTTTCCTTCTTATGGAATGCTTACAGTCTGATAATTTCGATAATTCAAATGCATTTTGGTAGATAATATTTCTGTGTGGCTGGGAATGATTTCGATTTAGATTTTGAGGGCAACATTCTGTAGACTTGGACTGTAATTGCGCTTGGACCACCACCACCACCAGGCGCAAGCGCTTCCCAATGCCAGCGCTGTGTAGTAAATGATCTTTAAATTTCGCTGTCAAGTAAAAAATTAATGAATGAATGATTAATTTTCGTATATTTTTATTGTTTTATGATTTATATTGTACCTTCTTAGCTGCTTTTGCATTGCCTGGTGGCTGATCGTCTGATCGCTTGCTGGCCAGCTGCTCCAGCTTGCGCAAATCCTTGATTAACTCATCTGAGATGGACTGGACGCTGCTTAAGGCTTCCAGTGCAAAGCGACTCGCATAACGCTTATCGCCCACAATAACATCTTCAGGCGGCATCACCTTCAGCTTGTAATTGGTAGCCGCCAACGAAGAGCGCAAATATTGAATATGATTTGCCGCATTGCCAACAATTTGATTGTTGTAGCACGCGGCTGCATTCGTATTGCAAATGTCATCGTAGCTGGGATCCTGATTGCACATTTGTGCAAACAATTTAATCAAATCGGTGCGCTCGCTCCTTGCTGTAAAACCAAACAACTCGAGATCTTCAGCCGTCAGCGATGCCAAGTCTCCGAAACTGATATTCTCCTCAATACTGAGCTTGGCCTTATTGTCTCTGCTGACGCTCGATGTGGCCAGCAATGCCATTATTGCCTCGCGCTCCTTGTGCGTTTTGGGTCTGGGCTTTGCCTGCATCCACGGGCGTCTCTCAGTGCCAAGAAATGCGCTGCGCTCCAGCTCCTGCTGCTGACTGCGTGTGTTGGCGCCAAATTGCACGGTCGACGGTCGGTGCATTCCTCCTCTTAACAATGGCACATTATCAATGGACATGGTGTTATAGCCAAATTTTGTGTTTATTTCTTTTATTTAGTCGTGAGATGTTGTTTAAACCATAAAATATATCGATGTTATGATATCGATTCTTGCACAAAATATCGTTTCCATGATAAATGCGCACGATTGTTGGTTTTTTCTTTGTGTAGAGAAATTCGCAAAACGAAAAGAATGATAACTGTAAAAAGTAGACTATGAAATATTGCAGTAACAATGAAATTTATAAACTGAATAATGAAAGGACACAATTGTAGTCACAAAAAAAACCTATATTTATATAACATATGCGATGCAGCAGATTATGTACAGAAATTAAGACTAGTTTTCTTTTTTATCGGCAGCCGTTGGTGTTTGTCGATAAATTGGAGTACTATTTATCGCAGCCTCCTGCAACTTTTTCATGAAGAGCGCTTTCTTCTCATCATCAGCGTTGAATTGTCGGGGGCCCCTTGCCGATGCCTTAATGCGTTCTATCTTTTCCGCATTGGGTTCGGTGAGCAGCATCAGTGCGTAGCCAAGTCCACCGGCGCCAACCAGCAATAGGACAGATTTCACATACGGATTGCTGGCCATCGATAATTAAGTATTGTTTCTCCTATTGCTTCTTGCCGAATTGCGCCGCCGTTGAGCTCCAGTAATTTGCGTCTGTTTCTCTCACTGTGTTATCGCCAACAAGCTCACCAATTTTATAGTAATACTCAAGAGCGTAGGGATATTTCTCGTTGACGTACCGGCGAAAATCTGCACAGAGAAAATGCAATGAGTGAAGAGTGAATAACTTATATAAAGCTCAAAGCGTGACAAACACTCGACACTCACCTTGGTCTGTGTTCATGCGGTAGTAGAGTCCGTAGCTGGCTGCAAAGCAGACGGCTTCCAGCACGAAGAGTGTCTTGGCGCTACCCTTGATGAATCTCCAAATTGCTGGTTTCGGGGTCTTCGGCAACATTACAACAAACTAAAAGAAAAACAAATTTAACACGTAGAAATAAAAAAGAACAACGCAACACCAACAATTGCTTATTAGTATCGTGCAAGCATATCGATGACCAACTAAGAATCGATATTTCAGCAGGTTATGTCAAAGAAGATTTCGCCAATTTTGATATTCATAATTGTGCCATTTAATAATTAACTACAAACATTTTATTTTGAACTTATTTTTTAGACAAATAATTAGAGGTAGCCGGCAACAGTTGTGCAACTTTTTATCAATAATGACGTAGTTTCGTGCAAAAACCGATAATATTGTTATCGATAATTCTGGGGCGAACGAAAAGCGCAATAATACGTAACAGGCCCCGCAACGAAAGCAGCAAGAAACCGAACGTGCGACTTTCAACGCAATCGCGACACACAAAAAATAAAGGCAGCAGCGTCGCTCTGTCGACAAAAAAAGATCGCGTATATAAACAAGGGGCAGCCGCTCAGTTGCCACAAACGTGCAAGAGCTGCACAAGTGACAACATCGCGAGATCTCCGTAAACAACAGTCAACAAATAATAAAGTATTATAAAACGCAATTTAATTACACCGGTACATTCAAATAAGAGCAGACTAAGTTTTTGAATCAAAATGCAGTCGGTGACAAAACAAACGCTGCGCTCGTTGCCGCAAATGGGCAAACAAGGTGTGTGTGTGTGTGGAAAGTGTGTGAAATATAAATTCTAATTATAATCGTAATCCTTGTCTTCTTCAGTGAGCTATTTATCGACAAGCAGCGCCTGGCGGTCAGCGGTAGGTGGCAACGATAGTGTTGTGGAGATTAAGGAGATGAAGAAAACACCATCCGAGAAATTGATGGCCTTTCAGAAGAAGCTGCGCGCGAAGACACCGTTGGGCAAACTGGATGAATTCTCACGTCATCCATATCAGGAGACGGAGCCGCTGAAGCCCTGGCCAAATCAAACAAATCCGTATACGGGCGAAATTGGCGGCCCCGCAGGACCGGAGCCGACACGCTACGGTGACTGGGAGCGCAAGGGTCGTGTCTCAGATTTCTAGTCAGCTCCCCCTATCAATCCCCAAAAAAATTCGATCTGTGCCTGTTTAGATCGTAGATCGTAGGATGCTATTTTGTCAAATGCTAGATTTAAGGCCAAAACAAAAATCAAAAAAACACAAAATTTGTATACTAAATGCATAATTATAAAATATATAAATAGAAATATTAAGCGAAACCAAGCCATACATAATTGCACATTAATTGTTTGTTGTGATTAGGTCGCTGATTAAGCGCTCGCTGTGCGTCCACAATTGCTGCTGCAGCGGCTCACTCTTGGCCAGCTTGCTGGGCTCACAAAAGTAACAGTTGTTAAAATACAATCCCGACAGACCCGTCAGTTCATTGGCCGTTGCACAGTAGATTGTTGTGGCAGCCGCTTGTTGCTGCCAGATGGAAAGATTCATTATATATATACATGTATATGTTGCTCAATGTCTTGGACTGATTGACTGACTCACCAGTGACTTGGTGAAGGGACGCACAATCGCAAAGATAAGACGATAAAACCAATAATTACGCGACAGCTCCGTTGCAACCATATTGCCGGGATGCAGCGAGAATACCGAAATACCACGTTGTTTCCAGCGCTGCAACAAAACCACAAAAATACCAATTTGACACATACAGTTTATGTGTATATGTATAGATATATTACTCACTTGGGCCAACTCCTGTGCGAATAGTATATTGCATAGCTTGGCATTGCTGTAGGCGATCATACTCCAATATTTCTCTGCTGGCGGCGATAAATGCTGCACCGTTAGATGATCCGCCGGCAAATTGGCAGTTCTGTGGATTGGTTGGAAAGTTAGGATAAGGGGAGTTGGGGGAAATTCAAGTTTAAACCACGACGCAGTTATTTTTCCATATTTCTTGTTCCTTGCTGTTTACTGTCGTCTTTCCACTTTTCTTTACTGTTTTGTTTTGTCTTGCTTTCATCTGCTTTGCATAGCCGGCTTACAAACATAATATGAACAGTGTTTAGAACTTTAGCAAATTAGATTCGATTCAATTCGAACTTTAATATAAATTAATATTCCTTTTTTTTCAACTTTTGCTTTTGAAATTTTAATTAACATTTATGTTTAGAAATGAATTGTAATTTTGCATATTTCTCAAATAAATAAGAAACACTTCTATTATCAGAGAATTCTCGTTTGCCAACAGTAGAACTTCAAAACTTCAGCACATTAGATTTCAACTTTAATAAGAGAGAATTCATTTTTGTTTAATTTTCAGAAGATTTATTTGTAGTTTAAACATTAACATTTAAATGTTGATATCAACAAATAAATAAGAAACGCTTCAATTAACACAGAGAATTCTCGTTTGCCAACGACCACTGTAGCATCATCATTCCAGTCAAAGGCATTGTGGACTTTGCACCCACAAACGAGTCTTGATTGGCTATGCCATTCTTGTTGCCGTTGTTGTTGCTGTTGTTGCTATCGGAGCAGCGTTCAATGCTCGTTAATGAGATGCAAGCAGCGAAACCATGACAACAGTCAGAACAGACAGGCCATGACTGTGAGCAGGGCGCCTACCCAGGCGCAAAACAAAAAAAAAGCAACAACAACAACACTAAAAACAAAAGAGCCCTAGAACAAGGCAGACAACGCCATTGAACAACAAACCAAGGCACATGAGTCAAGATATACTTTTACGCATTCGATTCCCACTCAAATGGATTGTAGCGCATGCGTTGGTTGTAAATGCCGCAATATTTCGAGTTACAAATCAAAGCGCGCAATTTTTTGGACTTTGGATTTGTTTTCAATTTTTGTATTGTCCATCCGTTTGATGTGTGTATGAATATGTGAATAGCATTTACATGTATTATTGCCTAAGGTTGCAAAAAAAGAGGGAATAGAAATATAAAGAATAATCCAGTTTAACCATTTTCTTGTTTCGTTTTTTTTTTTTCATTGAAACCGGCTAAATACTGCGTATTCCTAATATTTGCAAAATATGCAAAAAAAAAATAACAATGCATATTCCCCAGCATTAGCAAAATAGGAATCTTGCGTATTCCCAATATTTGCAAAAAGTGTTTTATTTCTATTTGTGTCAAGTTTATATCATCAATTATTGTTTATGATTCACACTTATTTTCACTGGCCATTGTTAATCTTAGCAAACATTTGAAGTGAATTTGAAATGATTTCCCATGCCTAATAATATCCAAATAAGATAGATGCAACGCCCTGTCTATCAATTATCGCATAGTTGCTTTGACCCCAATTCATCATTCGTCGAACATACACACATACATGTACATATTTGGGGTCGGTACACACACACACGCACACACACACACACAACACAGACCGCTGCTGGCATACATGACTTTTAGCTAGTAACATGCTGGCGCACGCGACTTTTGGTGCATGCATCCACGAGATACAGAGAGATACTTTAAGGCAGTCGTTGGTAACAAAAATGTGGTACGTGAGCTAAACAACGAACGCAGAAGCAGCAAGTGAAACATACAGCTGAAAAAACCAACCATTTTCAAAAATACAAGAACAACACACAGCAACTTGACTTCAATTACGCTTTATGCTTTGTTCCGTTGTTTCACGTGAGTCTTCGCTGATTGATGTACATATGTGTGTTAAAACGCACAGTGTGCCGAGACGTTGTTTTATCAAAACGTTACGCTGGCAAGCAGCCAAAAGTGCGTTGTACCACTGTGCTCGTGCGAGCAGCACGTGAATCGACTATATTCCGCTTGTGCCTTCACAACTGATATTGCCAGTGGTTTGTGTGGTGTATTAATGCATATGTACGTACACAATTGTACCGATCAACAATAAATCCCTTTATCAACCGGAACTACTTACTAAACAACAACAACCAATAAAAATGTATGTTTTCAAACACACACACCCACCCACAAATGTAAAAATGTACAGCAATATGCGAGTTGAAATTGTAGGGGCCAATTTGTGACGTATTGCGCAGCACAAAATGTAATAAGATCTCTATGTATGTATGTACATATGTATTTGTAGATGTGTATGTATGTGTGAGTTCAACTGTTTATAACCTTGGCATATTAAACAGAAGGTAGAGTTTGAGGAGTTATCATGGTTATAAAGAAAAAAAACCAAATAACCAAAAAATTTAATTGTCTACAGTTTTATTGATAATGCCACTAGGCAAACAACACATTTGTTTTGTTTAAGTTTATTTATTTCCTTTTATTTTTGCATAATCTCATTTAATCAATTAATTAAACGGAAATATGCAACGATAAACTCAACTTGCACCGTTTTTTTAATAGATATTATCACTAGGCAGACAATATATAGAAGCGTCAAATCGCCAAAAAAAATACAGACTATATGACAAATCTGATTGGTTTGAGTACATTTCTGTCGGATCAGCTGAGTTTCGGCTCGGGTGCTGAGGGACGAGCGTGAACCCGAAGGCAACGCGTCGAAAGTTTTGCAATTTTAGTGCTGCGAGCATCGAATTCAGATCATTATTTGGCTTGCTTTCGCTGCGTCATGTCCTATGGTAGAGTAGAGAGCCAATCCCCGAGTTTACGTGTATGGATGCTAGTAGAAACCTACTTTTTTCTACTAGTTCCTGTAGGCTCATGAATGTGTCTGAAGATACCACCAGCGCTCTATCCTTCTCTTTACGTGTACAAGTTTTTGGGCCTGCTAAGTATCCCTTTGAAGAGTGGGGTGGTTTAACTGTTGATCAGTTCTTTAGAATAGTGCATAGGGTGTCATTATCTCGAGATGCCAAATTCCATGTTTGTCACGCATACATACAACGATAGGTATTAACGGGAATATGCCATAGTTTGCCGACGGCTTTTCGAATAAACAATTTTGCATGTCGAGGACAGTGATACCCTTTTCTGGATATGTCCTAGACTTGAGTAATTATGCCAATGTTAGCTTAACAACTTTTAAATTAGATTCCTCTTTATATGATCAGGTCTCTATTCTACTAGAGATCATCTTGCAACGAAGGCAAGATCAAGGTCAAGGCCAAATATTGAACTGTGTTTGCTGCTCGACAAATTAAAGCTGCAAAATTTGTGGTCACGCTGTGATAGGGTCCATGCTCTGCTCTCAGCACCCGGACCGGAAGAGAAATATACCCAAACAGTCGGTTGTTTTATTGATTTGACGTCTCTATTCTATTGTCTTCTGCTTAGTTGTATAAGCCACAACTAGGCAATTTGGTTGTTACACACAATTTCAAACCGGTCTAAAAGGCAGCCACAAGTATTTTGTCTGTACATTGTCGCATTGGAACTATTAATAGTTTTTAGCCTGCAAACGCATCGACGCCAACGCAATGCAAATAAAATTTACAAAAAAAAAACCGAGTCTCTGACCAAAGTCCAAGCAATAAGTGCAATGAACTTGCTAAAACGATATAACGCCACATGCAGTTTGTTTATAAGCTACACTGGCGTCCATAAAAGTTGACCCAGTAACAAATTCGTTTAGAAAAATACTGTTAATATCAACGATGCGATTGATTAGCCGTAATTTACCTGTGTGATTCCGAGGAGACGACCACAATGCGTGTTCTGTGATCAAAAAGCGATTCCAATTGCAATGTTAGATAGAAATGCGATAGATGCGACACTTGGAATGTTGTTTCGAGACCATCAACGGTTTTCGTATAGGGTAAGCCAAAAACGCCAGCATTTAATATAAGATAATCAATGTAGCTGCAAAAGTGGAGATAGAACAGAGATTAGAGAGATCATTCTTTGGTGGCAATTAAAAAATGAATGATTGTAATGATTGTTGTTGAAGCCATTTTCAAGACTTAAAAGTTTTAAGCCTAGGCTATTTATGTTTCTGCTCACCTAACGCTCTGCTTGATCTGAGCCACAAATTGCTGAACAGCGCGCAGCGAAGCCAAGTCTAATGAAACGGAACGACACCTGGCACGTGCTGCTGGCCGTTCCACAGCGATGCGTTCGATGGCCTCCTGGGCGGCTGACAAATTACGACAGGCAAAGATAATCTCGCAGCCATGGAGGGCCAATGAGCGTGCAGTTTCAAAGCCAATGCCACAGTTGGCGCCCGTAATCAATGCCAGACGGCCATGCAGATCCTTGCCATGCAACACTTGTAATGCTCGACTGTTCGAATCAAATCTCTGACGCACTTGCGCCACATTGAGCGTCGGTTCTTCAACCGCAAATGCCAGCCGTGGATCAATGTTTGTGCGCTGCTGCGTCTCCTTGTTGAGGAACATTTGACGTTTGCTCTGCTCATCGTAGTACTTCTCCCAACCCAGCGGCAGCTCGCCGGTGATGCGCTTAGAGCGTCCCGTTCTTGGATGCGTCCACTGCGACACTTTTGTTTGTTGACTGCAAATGAAAATAGAGGAATTTTCTAATGGCAAGGCAAACTTCACTTTTTGCTTACTTCACATAGCAAACGGCGCCATCGTCTGTGGCACGTTCTTCCCAGCCAGGCGGCAATTCGTCCTCAGAGTCCGAGTCGGGTAGTGACATCATTTTGGCCTTGTTATTGACAAGTGAATTTATAACTGGGCTAAAGTTGTACTTAGTACTTAGTACTTGGCTTATCTTTGTTTTGTACTATCAGCTGTTTGTTATCCGCTGTTTGTCAGGGCTGGCAATGTTGCCATTCATATTTTGTGCAAATGTTATCGATACATTAATCGAAAACTAAAATAATCGCTGAAGCGCTTGTTTTCAAATATTGCCTATAACAAAGTACATTAGAAATGCTTCTTTAATCATGAATAAATTCTTTTTTATCTTTAGCAATTCTTTGAAAAAATTCTCTTTTATTTGTTATATTAATAGGACCTTTTTAAATATGTACACTAAGTAGATTGTTTAACACATGCATAGTTATATATGTATTAACAATATTATTAATTAATGTAAAAATGTAGATGTCTCACAAATTGACACTTGATTTTGTTCGCTACAAATCTACATGTAAATATATATATATACATATAGAATGGAAAGGTCACTAACAACAACAATTACAAAATAGAAATTCTATAAATACAAATCGAATGCTAAACTATACTTAAATTGATTAAAATTATATGAAAATTAATTAAATATTTCTATGTGTTGATGGTGATGCTGCGGGCGGCTCATTGATGATGCCATAGAATAATGGCAGCTTTGTCAGATCGCTACGCACCAGCACTATAAATGGAGTCTCCGCACGGAATACCACATCTGGCCCGGATTTTTTTAGTACTGCCGCCGATGCGGCAGCTGCCTCTGTGCCCTGTTCATTCACCACAAAGTCCACCTTATGCAGAATATCAGCGACCATCAGTTCCGAGGGTGGTGTCGGCAATTGATTCGGTTGCATTGCCGCCCGACGTTGCGCATTCAGATTCTCGAGGCTACTCAAACCCGAATTGACAGCGGAATAAGCAGGTGTCTTCGATGCTTCATTGCCAATTAGGGCAAAATCACTTTGGGCACCCATAAAGATGCCGGCGAGTCCCATGCGTTGCAGCAAACGTTGTAATTTCAGGGATTCGGTAATGTGCAGCTTGGGGAATGCCACAATAATCGATCGTCGAACCATTTGTCTAATCATCTGCTCAATGACATCGGCAGTTAGACTCTGCTGCAGATACGACAACTGTTCGACAGATGAGCGCATGGGTTGAATGATATACATGGTCGTCAGATTGCCATGATAGGGCAGACCAATGATGCGGCAGTTCAACTGCACATCCTCATAGTATGGAAATGATCCAGCACCGACCATCATTTCGACGGGTATCGCTGGCTGGGTGCCCTCACCATTGGGATAGAAATCCTCAACTCTGGTGCTGCCAACAATGAAATCAATCTCCCACATGGCCTTAAAGTACAATGCATTCGCCATTATCATTCGTGTCGTGTGCGGCAATTCGTCGGCAATGATATTATCAATTTTGCCCCTTGTATGCTTCGATACCCAGGCGTTAATCATATTCTTTGCCAACGTTGGATTATTCTCAAAATCAAGTATTTTCACATCCGAATTGTAGACTTCGTAAATAGCTTGTCTGCGAGAGAATAGAATTATAAAATTTAATTAGTAAATTGTTATGCAGAAGTTTTAATTTCATCATTAGTGTTCTAAAATGTGACTAATATTACCATTATATAAAAGACGTAATAATTATTACAATACCGCTTGAGTTGTAAAGTTATCATTTCAATTAAAAGCGAAATTAGCTTTATTCTCTCAGCTGCTCAATCACATCAATATATAATTATATTTTAAACGGAAACCATGCAAGTTAAATATATTTCCATCGCTGATTTTATAATTTTTATTTATTTAAAATATTTTTCAGCGCTGCATGCCTTAAATACTTGATAAAGCGCAGAGAGTAGGTTTTTTTTTTCTATAATCAGCTTAGAATATTATAATTAGTTTATTTAATATAAACTACACGCTACACGTACTGATAACAATTTGCAAAAACAGATTATTCAATTCCCTCAAACAATTCATATTAATTGTGCTTCCAATTGCAATGACTTCTTTGTAGAATTTGAAATTTTTGCAAAATTTGCTCACCTGTAGTCGGGATTGAGACTGTAGCCCTGTTGCACAAACAGTCCATTTGCCACATGCAGCTCGTGTGGCGCATTGCGATTCTTGGGATAGTTCCTCAGGCTCCTGCGTATATTATAATGCCATTCATCCAATTGACGCAATGGTGAAGTTGTCTTGATTGTTGGCTGCTGCACATCGTTGACCATCAGACCGAATTGTTCATGCAATTGAATTATATCGTTTAGGCCGAAAACTGCCGCCAGTTCGGAGTAACTGCGTCCCTTGGCGCCGACCAGTAGTAGCGCCAGTGCGGACACAATGCTCAGTGGCGAAAATATTGTTGTTTTGCGATAATTCTCATTGATCTGGTTGGCTAGCTGGTGAGTAAAGGTCAAAATATTGCGAGCAATATCATCTGAAGCACGAACATCCACCGCTGGAGGCGATGGCCTGTATGGAGCAACATAAGAAGGAGCAATAGGAACAGGAGCAGCAGCAGGAAGAGGAGCAAAAACAGGACGAGGTTGAGATGTTGTGCTACTGTATGGCCTCACTCCGGCAACAAGGGCAGGAGATGCCAGTGGAGGCCTTGTGGGTAGAGATGCTTGGGCTGTCTGGAAGCGTTGCTGCATGTGAATATATTCCTGTACTTCTGGATTGTCGGGATTGCGTATATCACGATGCAGACCCAGATCGGAATTCCCAATGGAAAACAGGCAGGCGAAGGCCATCAAGCCACAGCACAACGAACGCGACATTTAATTATTTTGTATTTAATGCTTATCTTTCAGCTGTAAATGTGACTATTTTCTTTTATACAATACACAAACTTATATATATATATATATATATATATGCACATATATATTGATATATATTTATATATATGTGTGTGTGTGTGTGTGTATTGAATCGATACGCGATGAGAACGCCTTTAAGCCTGGTGTTAAACTGAGCTTGTCACGCTTCGCACACTTCATTTTATAAGTTGATGCGAAAAAAACTCGTTATCAACTCAACTACACTCAGCCAAAAAGTTGCTAGTTGCCAACTGGACTGTAGATGAGCAAAAAATCGAATAAAATTGCTGTTGAGTTGTTAATAATTTCAAATAGTAAAACATACAAATTTTATATTTCTCCTTTTATTAAATAAACGACTTATTTTAAAATCATTTAAATTCAATAAAGGTTGTACAAAAAATTAAAAATTTATTTCGAATTGTGAACATTGTCTATGATTAAGCAATTTACAATGAAAAAAAAGAATATGTTATGGTTGAGTGATTTTTGGCCTGCTACTGATTAGCGAAAAACAACAACCAGAAAACAAACACTGCACAAACAAAGCATGTTTAAAATTCATTTCCGAACACATTAAATACTATACAAAATTAGCTTGACAATTATGCAATCAGAAGAACAAAAGTTAATTGAAATTTAATAGAAATGCACTAGTCGAGACAGCTCGACTTGAAGATGACCTGAAACCAGTTTTAAAATAAATAGTAGTTTGTTTAAGATGAAAATATGTTTTTGTGCTTCGACTCTGCTATTGATGCTGATTACGAATATATATAATATTTGAGGTCAGATATGCTCTCTTAAGTCTTAAACATAATTTTGTACAACTTTTCCAATTTTAAAGGTACACGAATAAGTTGTAGTTTCAAATTAAAATTTGTGCATCAACTTCACTGGAATATATATATTTGATAAATTTTTTAATTTGTATATAAATATAGATATTGATAAAGATGTAGATGTAAATATAGATATAGGATATTTATATAGATGTAGAGATATATATAGATTTAGGCGTTCACTGTGATCAGTTTATCAATTAGCCCTTAATTTTTTTAAGTGTATTATCTCACCTAGCTCAATTCCGATCTGAGTCAGGCTCTGTTCAGCGGATCTCGCAGCTGTCGTCACTCTTCGCTCTGTGCTGGGTCGGGAGAGCAACGCGTTTGACGTGTTCATCATTGAGTACAATTGAACGGGGCTAGGCAGGAGGGGGGTTGACTTATTGCAGCTGGGTTATACCCCGGTTTTGTTTACATTTGGCTGCTGCACTCGAATTTGCTCGCACACTCAAATAGTTGAACCACTTGCGTATAAAGCTGGATCAGTCAACTAGTCGACTAGTTTCGATTCCTCTCAGTTCTAATTATAACAGCGATAATTTGATTTTTACGGATATATGAATGTGTGTGTGGATTTCAAGTTGATTGTCATGAGTCGCTCTTGAAATTTGAGTTGAGTGTGTTGTATGTGTGTGTGTGTGTGTGCCGAGAATTTTAACATTGAGACGTGTTCGTCTGCTTGATGTTTCTTTCGGGCTATAACTGTTTGAGCAAATATACATTAATATTCATGAGATATTCAGTCTCGTCGATAGACGCTCTGTTCTCCACTAAATGGTTAGTGCATTATATACTCGTATACTATTGTTTGATTTATTGACTGTTCAGATTATATACTTGAGAGATTTGTCATAAGCATAGCCATTGGGAAAGTTTGTTGTTGTGTTGTGGGTGTTTCCCCGTCAAGTCAACTGAAACATGGTTCTTTTGCTGACGTATTTACTTGCATCATAAAGAATTCTGGTAATTTGTTTTATTTTTTATTCCCATTTCTTATATCTTTTTCTTTTCCAAAACTCTGACATACAAAATGCATATTTAAATGATACCAAATTTATATTATCGATTCCTCTAAAAAATAAAACTCTTTCAGATACGGTTTACAAATTTTTACAGCCAAACAATTGTCAAAGCTGTACCGATTTTCACAAGCAATGGTTTTCCGGTCACGGTTTGGCCTTTTAGAATAATACTACATTTAAATTTTAAAACACTATTTTTCAACGTGTTGGTTTAAGTATCTAAGACACGATGGACTTATGATAGAAAAGTCTTGGGCAATTGGGCATTTCTTTCCTCATTTATGTAGTATTTTATAAAAAGTTATGGGCTCATTGAACTTGTTTATTTTGATATCAGAATATATATATTTGAAAACATAATGAGAGCCCTGAAAGCAAAGCCTTGTAATGTAGAAACAGCCAATTTTTTTTTTATGCTACTTGTATATAAAGTTAGCTACCAAGTCCAATAAACGTTGTCAATTTTCTGAAAGCCTAGCTTCTCAAACATTTGCCGCGACGCCGTATTCTCTGTGATAACAGGAGCCATGACTTCATCACCCAAGTCGGAGATCTTCCTGGACAAATAGCGCACCATGAGACTGCCCAGGCCAAGACGCTTGTGGGTTTCCAGGACTTGCAGCAAGCTCAGTGCACCAATTGGTTGTCTGTAATTGAATCAAATATATATATTATTATATTATAAATATCTATTAATATATTATTGGATATACTACTGAATTTACCTTAAGCACCAGGCTATTAGTTTTCCCTCCTCATCATAGGCTCCAACTGAAACATTGTGTCGAATTAATCGTTTAACATATTCCACAGAACCCGGGGAACGATGAGGCCAGATTTCATTTATGGTTGGTGCATCCTTAATCTGTAAGCTGCGCAACTCGATGCCAGCTGGTGGCCTAATGCATGTAAACCACAATTTAAAAGGAGCTACTGCCATTTCTCAAATAAACTAACATACTCCGTTGAAAATGTGGCAACAAGTTCTTTGCTGGCACTGTAGAAAGCTGTTTGATTTGTGCTTGGATTCCTAATTTTCTTTTTGTATTCAGTTACAGCTGGAATAAGACGCTCCCCATAAGCAGCGAGCAAATAAGCATTTGATTCAGATGGCAAACAGAGAAGTGCACTTGTCAAACGTTCCAGATTGTCGCTCAGTGTATTAAAGTAGGCTTCCCTCTGAGCAGCCCCATAGTTTACCTGCAATCAAAAGATATATTTTATAAGATAAGTAGACAATTCTAGATAACATCTATTCTACTTACACACATAAGAAAAGTGCCATCGTTTTTCCAATCGCCATCTAAGGAAAAACACTTGATATCTAACTGGGGATCTTGAGCTATCCACTTGATATAGTTATTTATCAAATTATATCCCGTAGATTCTCTTCTTTTCTGGGCATAGAGAGCGCGTAAAGCTTGCCACTCGCTGGGCTTTATCTCGACAAGCGAGTGTGAATTAAATTGCAGTAGCGACATGTCAGCCGCCTAACGATGCCACAAAACAACTGAAGTCCGAATTGGGATTTGGTTCTCTTCGTACCCTGCCAAGACTCAGAAATGCCTTGTCTCACATTTAAGAGAGTTGGTCGCTAAACTAAATTCTATCCACCCTGTGTTGAACGAGAGCGGGAAGGTTTCAATAAAAATAAGTTGAGTACAATTAAATGACCTTGAATTAGTAAAATGCACGGCCCAACTCGAAATGAATTTATGTGAATTTGAGCTAATGAATTCTTCGAATGAATTAATGCATTGCATGCCTTTAAAAATGCTGAGTGCGGCAGCTGTTTGATTATCGCAAGAAAGAGAGGGAAAGATAGACACATAACGAAGATGATGAAGTATGCCGTCTTCTTTCTGCTCAATGGAAACACACAGCTACACACACATACACATGCAGCCAATGTGTACGTCAATTCGAACTTTACTCAAGTTCAATTCTCTTCGTTTTTAGTGTTGTGCATCTGTCGCATACAATTTTGAGTGCATTTTTATAGAGCACTGGTCTGAATTAAAGGTTTCGTATATCAAGTTAGACCAAGCGAATATCGATACAAATGTATTTCCAATTGCAATAAAATGTATAATTTCGAAATGAATATACGTTGGCATAGCTGCCACACGGATGAATAATAATCATAAATATATAATAATAATAATATTTTAATACAATGTTCAGGGTATCCCCCAGTCGAGCTCTTTTTTGTTTTATTTAAACACGCCCTTGCTTTGTGATTTTAGAAATTTATATTAACAAAACAACTATCAACCTTGTATTTATTTTGCACTCGCTCACATTTAATAGAGTCTAGCAGATACTATCTCAATTACTTTTACAGTCTTGCTTATTTTATTTATCAGCTAATAGTGCTTAACACGTTTACTTTCACAATCAGTAGAACCAGGTATTCGTTTTTTTTTCGTATATTAAATTAGTTTGCCATATATTATCTCAGTAGTTCTCTAACTGTTTAATTCTATTTCCAATTTAATTAGAACAATTTTTGTTCATTCATTTTCATGGCTATTCCAAAACCAATTCATCTATTTCACCAGTCCAGCAGACTTACTGATCCTCAGCAATGGTAATAAAATCGAAATAAATAAAATAAATACTGATGAATATTTATTGTATACACATATATTGAATAATTAAAACTACTAGGCTTATTTAATATTATAGTTGAGCTCTCTCAACCACAACATTCTTCTCACTTTATTTATGTCATATTTTATAACCGAACTTCTTAAAAATCATTTATATTGAGACCCATGGAACCAAACCCCTGGAATCTAAAGCCAAAGAAGTCACAGTTTTCTAGAGATTTCTTTTGATACAACTCGTTCATGACCAAGTCCAATAAACGTTATCAATTTTCTGAAAGCCCAGTTTCTCAAACATTTTACGCGACGCCGTATTCTCTGTGACAACAGGAGCCATGACTTCATCACCCAAGTCGGAGATCTTCCTGGACAAATAGCGCACCATGAGACTGCCCAGGCCAAGACGCTTGTGGGTTTCCACGACTTGCAGCAAGCCCAGTGCACCAATTGGTAGTCTGTAATTGAATAAAATATATATATTACCATATTATAAATATCTATTAACATATTATTGGATATACTACTGAATTTACCTCAAGCACCAGGCTATTAGTTTTCCCTCCTCATCATAAGCTCCAACTGAAACATTGTTTCGAATTAATCGTTTGACAAACTCCACAGAACCCGGGGAACGATGTGGCCAGATTTCATTTATGGTTGGCGCATCCTTAATCTGTAAGCTGCGCAACTCGATGCCAACTGGTGGTCTGAAGCATATAATATTTAAATACAATTTTACATATATATACATAGTGTCAAAATTTACTAACGTACTCTGTTGAAAATGTAGCAACAAGTTCTTTGCTGGCAGCGTACCAAGCTGTTTGGGTTGTCTTTGTTTCCTCAAATTTCTTTTTGTATTCAGATACAGCTGGAATAAGACGCTCCCCATAAGCAGCGAGCAAATAAGCATTTGATTCAGATGGCAAACAGAGAAGTGCACTTGTCAAACGTTCCAGATTATCGCTCAGTGTATTAAAGTAGGCTTCCCTCTGAGCAGCCCCATTGTTTACCTGCAATCAGAAGATATATTTTCTAAAATAAGTAGACAATTTTAGATAACATCTATTCTACTTACACATATAAGAAAAGTGCCATCGTTTTTCCAATCGCCATCTAAGGAAAAACACTTGATATCTAATTGGGGATCTTGAGCTGTCCACTTGATATAGTTATTTATCAAATTATATCCCGTAGATTCTCTTCTTTTCTGGGTATAGAGATCGAGGAGAAGTTTCCCCTCGCTGGGCGTTATCTCGACAAGCGAGTGTGAATTAAATTGCAACAACGACATATCCGTCCTCGCCCACTGCCGCAAAGCAACTGAATTTCGCGATTTGTGATATGCGAATTTTACTATTTTTATAGGCTACCAACACTCGTAAAAGCCCAAGTTTACATTGAAGAGAGTCTGATGAGAGACTTTCTTTATTGCAATTGTATGTGTGAGCACATTTTGTACACCCTGTAGTTAAAATGGTTAAAAGGGGTATATTTAAGCTGTGAATAAGTATGCAGCCGACCGGTATATATGTATTCTTGATCAGGTTCAACAGTCGATTCGATTAAGTCCGTCTGTTTTTTTCACAGAATATAGGAGATATAGAGACTTCAAGTAGCTATAAAATTACACAGTATAATACAAATTATATTAATGTCTGTTGAGAAACACGAACGGATATCGTATATTAATATTTGCCAAATAAAATTTTAACATTATAACATTTTTCAGTGGGTTGGCTTACATATCTAAGACAGCTTACAATTTATGAGAATACTTTGATTCAGGGTATCTCTTAGTCGAGCTCTTACATTTTTAATTCACACAAGTATATATTTGATACATCTATTTTTTTGTTTTTTGTTGTTGGAGGTTTATGGGAATTGCTATCAAGAGAACAGAACAATTGCCGGCTTATTGAATTTGGGGTCGTAGATTAGATAAGCTTGCACAAATATGTATTAAACTAATAATTTGCATGTCTTTAGCAGAGTTTTAAATGCTTATATTTTAGGTATTCTCTTATATGATCTACTTGACAAATTTACCCACAAAGTTTATGAAGCCAAATAAATGATAATTAAATCTTTAAACCCTTTAAATATTTATATATGTATATGTATATGTATATGTATATGTATGTGTATATAAATGCAATTGCTGTTTGATTATAACGTCGGAACCATGGTGTAATAGATATCATCAATATGCTTGAATCCCAGTTTTTCAAAAAACATCTGTGATATGTCATTGTCAAAGGCAATTGTGGCCAAAACCTCAGCGCCACTTGCTGCAATTTCCTGAGCCATAAGACGCACCAGCACCGAAGCGAGTCCAAGACGCCGATGAGATGGCAAAACATGCAAATTACTCAGAGTGCCATGGATTGATCTAACGATGGGATCAATGACCCAATTAGTTTAAATATATAAATTAAATTCGAAATATGCAAATATGCAAACCACCTCAAGCACCAGGCCAACAAATGTCCATCGCCATCAAAGGCACCCACACTGATATTGTGTCGAATTCGACTTCTTATCAATGCCAACGAATCACTTGACCGATATGGCCAGTGCTCATCCACTAGAGCAGCGTGTTCGATGTGCAGGGGTCCAAAGCTAATATCTGCAATCGAGCTGAAAAGCGTTTAAGTAAAAGGCACCCTTGGAAAATAAACCAAAGTTCAAATCTTACCGGTAATCAAGTGATTGAATTGCCTCCTGTGGCAAATGATATACAAATGTCTCCAGATAGTCCAATTTCTTTAAATTCAAATTCCTATCCACACAATATTGTTTGACAACATTCTTCAACAGATGTCGATAGCCGCACAGCCAATGCCGAGCTGTCAATTGTAAATCGCTGAGCAGATTTTGCAAATCAATCAGATTTCCATTTAACGTATTTAAATAGACGTCCGCCTTATGCTCAGTACTATGCTGTAAGATATACACACTGTATTTAATTTCACAATTGCATATTAATCATTTTTGTCTTTTTTACTAACAATTAGCACAAAACTGCCATGTTCCAACCAATTGTCGTCGGTGGTGAAAATTTTCACATTTTTTGCATAGATAAAAGAATTGATTAAATCGTAACCGGTGACATTTGTACGATCGTTTTCGTATAAATCCCTTAGCAACGGCCAATATTCACGGACTAATTCGAACATTTTGTGAGAAATGAAAATACTTTATTGATTATTTTATATATATTTTTGAGTGGTCGAGTGGACGCGAGATCTAGATCCGAATGCCATCTAAATCGAGCACTGCTAAATCATTTTAAAAATAACTTATGTAACGTTTTATGTGTATTGTGTATGGGACTGCACATGCTTAAGATGGAAAGTTCCTTCAAGGCCATGGACAATGAAATGTCTACGCGCAACTGCGCTATTTTTATACTCCCAGATCGAGATGGTATATAAGGGAACATTGCTTTGTTGCAATGTACGTCATGCTGTCCATCCGCATTGAAGCAAGTTTTTTTTTAACACACTCATCAAACTTGGATCGTATCTCTTAGAATTGGCCAAAGCCTATACATATTTTAGCGTTAATGTTACCTAGTTTGGGAGCTATCTTATTAATACATTCTTCTACTATCCAGCACAGCTCAAGAGCTACAGTCACTAAAAACAATATGGCTTAAACGAATATTAATGACAGCCCTTTTCAATTCTCAAAGCATGCCCACACACAGCTAAGGAGATTACTTGCGACCTGTTCTCAATCTAATTACACTGTGTTCTGCAGTCGTCTATGCCCGACAGCAATGTTCTCACTTGTTTTGCACAATGCTTGTGCGTAGCGAGCGCCGAAAATACACCAAGTTTGAACACTGAACATCATTCTGCAAATACTATAATTACTTTTTCGTCGTCGCAAACAAATTGATGTGAAATTTTTGACACACGTAGGTATTTTTGTACTTGGGACATTTTCAAATACAAAATCGCACCAGCAACGCCAGCGATTTGCAAAACATTTTCTGTGAAATTGATTTACGTACATAGAGTATTCTATAAGCTATGCCAACTGTTCAGTCCAATAAACATTGTCAATTTTCTGAAAGCCCAGCTTCTCAAACAATTTACGCGACGCCGTATTCTCTGTGACAACAGGAGCCAGGACTTCATCACCCAAGTCAGAGATCTTCCTGGACAAATAGCGCACCATGAGACTGCCCAGGCCAAGACGCTTGTGGGTTTCCACGACTTGCAGCAAGCCCAGTGCACCAATTGGCAGTCTGCAACAAATAAATTCCTTTAGTATCAAATCTATATTTAGGCATATTACTAAAATCACCTCAAGCACCAGGCTATTAGTTTTCCCTGCTCATCATAGGCGCCAACTGAAACATTATAGTCTATCAAACGTTTGACAAACTTCAGAGAATCTGGGCTACCATGTGGCCAGTTCTCATTTATTGTTGCAGCATCTTTGGGGTCCACGCTGCGCAACTCGATGCCAACAGGTGGCCTAGGAAATACACGTGTTAATTATATCTTTATAATTGCATAAATTTACTATCGTACTCTATAGAAAATGTGGCAACAAGTTCTTTGCTGGCACTGTACCAGGCTGTTTGGGTTGTCTCCATCTTCGCGTTCACCACATTCCTTATATAGGCATCGACTGCTGGCACCAGACGCTCGCCATAATCATGTAGCACATAGACGCCGGATTTGGATGCCAAACAAAGTAGTGCATTTGTTAAACGCTCCAGATCATCGCTGAGTGTATTGAAAAATACTGTTTTTCGCTGGTTGTCATTGGTTATCTAAAAAAGAGCAAAACTCTTTGTTATTCGAGTATTTTATACGAATCTTATCTGCACTTTTGGGAATATATTTTTTATGTACAATCATTAGAAATGTGCCATCGCTTTGCCAGTCACCGTCGAGGGACAAACATTGAATATCAAGCTCTGGTTCTTTGGCTTTCCATTTGATGTAGTTGTCTATCAATGCATATCCGGTCGATTCAAATCTTTTGTGGGCGTAGAGATCCCGTAAAATGCTCCATTCACTGGGCGCTATCTCGATCAATGAGTGCGACTGCAGCGACAACAGCTGTTCGGCAACTGAGTGATAAATTGAAAGAATTGCAACAATATTTAACATAAAAATGTTTATTTTGTAACATACACTGCATAAAAAGAAAAGCTAAAAGTTGCAGCCGGAATAAATGCATTTAAAATGCAATTAGCAATCGTAAACAGATTTTGTATTTGTTTGGCCAGCTGATTGAATATCGATAATTTAATCGAAAGCAATTCTAGACGGAATACCGCTGTGATGCTGTCTGCGCGCAGAATTTAATTCTGATCAAGAATGAACGATGTTAAAGAACTCCAGTGGCTACAGCAAATAGTGCCCTTAGCTTATGATGCGCTAAAGACTCTGGCTAACTTGTCAACTGCAGCAAATACGCCAAATACAATACAAACAGCAAATGATTCGCCGCCCGGAAAAAGGAGACGAACTATTAAGCGGACAGGTCAAACGGATGAAGTCAGCAATCGCCGGATTTGGGTAAAGCAGGAGAATCTTAGTCGCGATGTTGATGGACTGTTTGCCACCACTTTTCATCAGCTTGATGACTTTCGCAGCCGCACCGGAATGACGCCGCAGGTCTTCGATATGCTCTTCAGTTTGGTGGGCGAGCAACTGAATAAGAACTCCATACGTCGGCCCATTCTGCCCGAGTGTCGACTCTTTCTGACGCTAATGTGAGTTGAAATTATAAATATGATTCATTAAAAGCTGGCAATTTTAAATTTACTCAAAATGGAAATGAATCATTTAATGAGCAGCCAACTTCGTGCTGTCAACTTTCCCAATGCTTGTTGTCGATAACAAAGCTAATTATCCTTACAGCGTTGCCACTTTGTATCTCTGTCCATATTTGAATTTAATATAAAAGATGAAATTCTTGACTTAAATACAGGTACTTATCCAATGCGGAGTCTATCCTGGACTTATCCAAGGCATTCAAAATGGGCAGCTCCACAGTGCGTGCCATTATCCAAGAGACGGTGGAAGTGCTTTGGAACACGCTGGCGCCCGCCTTTCTACCACAGCCCGCAGTCGACGATTGGCAACGCATTGTGGCAGGATATCAGGCGGAGTGGCAAGTGCCACATTGCTTGGGCGCCGTGGATGCCACACTGCTAGACATATCGTATAAGAGTGAAAATGATATTGTACTGCTGGCCAGCTGCGATGCAGATTTGAACTTTATCAGTATTGATATTGCTACACTAACGGATCCCATCAACAATCAGCTCGATTGGCATCAGAATTTCGGCTCACAGTTACTCAATGGACGATGGACGGATCTTCTGCCGGCGAAGCCATTGCCGAGCGGAGAGCCGCATACCAGTTGTGTCTATAGCTTCATAGCAAATACCATGTTTCCATGCGAGCATTTAATCACACCTTATACAGACCAGCAGCTGGACGAAAATCAGATGAATTTCAATCGACTTCTGTCTCGTGCTCTTGCCGGCAGCATCGATAAAGCGTTCAGTGTGTTGATGTCACGTTGGCGTGTCCTTGCGCAACCACTGCGTCAGAGTCCAAGCAAAGCGGAGAAAATCGTCAAAGCCGCCGTCGTCTTGCATAACTTTGTCAAGCTGCACGATGAAAACTATGCGCCAGCCAGCTATTTGACAGAGTTGCCCCTGATATCCACAACACGTCAAGTGCCCAGTGCCTGGCTATCCGGCGGACAACAGCCGACAGTTGACAAAAATGCCATAATGGAATTACGTGAACATATGAGCGGAATTATGGCCTGCAAACCGGAGTCGAACACATTTGAAGCGCTCGTTGATAGCGTTGAGTGGACTGACTAAATTTATAAATTGTGATCTCACAATTTATAATTTGCTTTGTGTATTATCTTTTCACCAAACAAAACTGCAACAACAATCAAACAAATCTTGGCTCTCTTTTTAACGATATACTTTAAAAGGGAGAACTTTATTTTTAATATTTATAATCGCACAAATACATTGGTAATACAAATTACAAATTATATTGAAAATTGGAGGATCAAATTATGCATAAGGTAATACAGTGTCTGGACTTGAAGAAGCATCTTTAATCAGCATTACACATAACAATTACCAAACAAAGAAGAGATATTTGTCAAACATGGCCAGCAATGAGGCGGACGCTTTTAGCTATGGGCCCGTATCGAATCTCAATTCAATTGATGACTCCATCGGCACGAACGTTGAGTGCATCCAAAAAGGAGCCCATTGGCGTGGAGGGGCCAAAGCTCTCAATGGTATTTGCCAGTTTGTTCTTCATGTTGCGCAGACGCAGCGAGGCATGGATAAATGTCACCGAAATGGGTAGCAGCAATGTGAAAGCGGTCAACAAAACGGCGCTAATCATGTGCAGAAATAGATAGCCGGTTAGCAATGCACCCGCCAGAATATACCACTTCTGCTGGGCATTCTGTTGGGCCAAGATCTGATTGCCACCGGTTAAGCGACTGGCGATGAAATTATTCTTCGATTTGCTGCTAAAGAATTGCCAAATGACGCCGATGATCAAAGCTTGAACGACCAGACCACTGATGATTTTCGTCGGATTGAAGGCAATCATTATCACATAGATGGCCAGAAAGACGAGAAAATAATTGGTCTGATAGTACAGCAGATTCTTGACTACACGATTGCCCCACTTGTCGAAATCCTTGAGATTGGGCAACTGGAAACGCGCAGAGCCCAGCACAAAATCATCCAAAGTACGCAACGGTGGCAATTGTAGATTTCCCGACAGCGCTGCAGCCGCATCGCCAACGGCGGAAGATGTTGTTGGTGTTGACGACATTATTGTTCTTGACTGTTTAGTGTTGAGTTTTGGGTGTTTAGTGCTTAGCTTTTGATAGCTGAAGTTCTGGCGTTGTCCACGCGTTAATTGATGCGTCAATTCCTGTGTGTCAAACAGCTGAGACGCCAGCTGCCTTAGCTTCGACCGCAATCGGAAACTACTCGATTCTCGGCGTGGCAAGAGACGTGCACGCTCGTCCGTACAATGCCAAGTGGAATTCTCGTCGCTGTCACTGTCACCGTATTTTACGTCCAGTGTAAATCTTGATGTTTTTCGCGTAAATTATGTGTGTGTGGCTGGCTTTATGAAGTTCAATAAGTACTACTTGACACAAGTTGACTCATGCTGATATATGCAAGCGTGACTCACCCTGTGCCACACATTCATTGCATACCAGCCTATCGATGCTTGTATCGATCTATGTATCGATTTTTGAACTAAGAAACTCAATTTGATTGCATTGATTTGACACTTTGTAATGATTGAGAGCACAAATATAATTTGAATTTAGAAACTTTTCGAGTAAAGGGCGTTGCCAGGGGTGGGTTAGCGCATTGGACCATGACCCAAGCACGCAAAATAATTATTGAAATTGCGCACTAAAATCGAAAGGATATTCAACTAATTCTTGTTTATTATGCGATAAAAAATGTTTGTAATTATTTTCGACAATTTTTTTTGTTTGTATTTAGTCATTAAAACTGTCTTCATTTCTATTTAAATTGTAAAATTAAATTATTCAAACATAAGTACAGCTAAAGCAACAATGTGGTAAGAAAGAAAAAAAATATAAACCTACAAATAGGTAATGAAAGGAATTGGAAATGAGACTTTTGGATTGATGTTAAATGGGAACATAAAGATTGTTAAACAATAATGTTTCTATATTCATGAATCAGTTAGGAATATTTCTTGTGTGTATTTTTAACCTCCCAACTACAGCCACATAAGTTTTGGACGTAAGGACTACCGACTACCGACTACTCTTCCTTCAAACTTGGTTCAAGTTTTTTGGTAATGCATTTTTTGATTTTTGATTTTTTTGTTTTGTTTTTAGTTTTTGTTTAGTTGGTAAAACAATGTTTATCGTTTTTATTTTGCTTGGGTGTTGCTTCAATTCTATTTTGGTGGTAGAACTTGGTTACGCCTCCAGATCATTGACAAAGAGCACCTCTCGATTCTTCAGGCCAACTTCCTTAAGGGTTTTATTAACGATCTCGTTTGCCGATCCCTCGGCGGCATCCACCGCTGCCTTGGAATATAAAACACGCTTGGGAAAATTCGTTGTGATTTCGAATTCATCCGGCGATTCGGGATGGCAGAACAGAAAATGGTATACATCCTGAAAGGAGACATATTATATCGTATATTGTGTTGAAAAATGAGAATGGATCATTTACCAAAATGGAATTTGTTTGCTGAAAGCGCCGTTCGAGACGCGTGCCGCTGGGCAGCTTAAATACAACGGCAATGGCATCCTCGGCATTGACAGCCGGTTCGCTCGGCACCTGATTGACCAGCTCAATTTTGAGTCGAGCAATCTCCTCCTTCCGCAATTCGATATCACGGCGGGCCTGCTCCTCGGCCGCGATCAGTTGCCGGGCGACGTCGCGTTCGCGTTGACGCTGACGCTCCTTCTCCTCGTCGGCGAGCAGACTCTGCTCGTAGGCCTCATCCTGTTGGCGTCGCAGGGTCTGTGTGAAATTGCGCTCCAGGCGATCGGCACGTGCCTGACTCAGCCACACCTCGTTCGCCGAGATGACCGATTGGAGGCGTCGCAGCAGCTCCTCCGCTGTGCAATCACCCTCGAAACTGCCAACGATAATCATTCGATTCGCCCGCAGACTAATCATCACCATCAGTGGATAGGTGCGCACCGTTATCGATTGCATCACCCGATAGCCCTCCGGCGTGGAGACATCACAGCCCCAAAGCAACGTATTGGCGCTAATATAATCGATGACCGATCTGGAGGAGAGGGTTTCACGGCAAAACGATTCAACATCTGGATTGCGACTGGGATCCTTGTGCAGATAGACGAGCAAAAAACGCAACTCCTGCTTGGCATCGTTCAGGGCCTGGGCATAGGTGCCCTGATAGAATACCGGATGCTCCGGATATCTTTCGTAATACTCGCGTATAAATTTCATCACATCGGCGAGTGGATCTGTGACGAGGCGCGGCTCATTGCCGCCGCCAATGTTGATAAATGCACGCACAATGCCCGACAGTGTTGAGTAGAAATATTGGAACACAAAATTGATCACATAGCCTAAGATGCCGGTAAGACTGCGCGGCATTGGCTCGGCATTGGACCGTACCCGCCTCGCTATTCGGCCGCCGGGCATATTCGCTGAGTAGATCTGTTGCAGGAAACGATCATTGATGACGGTCGGTGCACGCACATCGGACGATGCTGTCAGCATTGTGGGACGACCCTCGCGTATGTTCATCTGTTCCTGGAAGGCCACCTATAAAAAAGGTCACGATTTTTTCAATGTGTATACATTAATTAATTATAAATGATGTGTGTGTGTGTTTTTACCTCGAGATCCCATTGATGGCGTATTAGTATGTCGCGACATATGTTCATATCCTCGATGCCAGTCAAGTCCTGAAATTGGAGCACCTTATCCGTTTGTTCATTTGTCAGACCCTCTGCCTCCATTTTGCAGCAGGTGTTGTTTTTGTTGTTGTTGCTGTTGTGTCTCTGTTGTCGTCGTGTTAGTCGTCGTCGACGTTGGTTGGTTCTTGTTGTTGTTGGCGTTTTTCACCCTGCTTGCGATCGTCTGCTATTGTTGAATAGTGGTTAATAAAGTTGAATATAATTTATATTTGGCAAATTTATTATTTGCACGGCCAAAACCCACTAAATAAACTGAACGAACGGAACCCCTGATTGTCGTTCATCTAACATATGTTTTTTGGCATCCAACAACTTAACATTTTGCTGCACTGTTATTTAACAGTGAGACACCAAAATTTGACCTGTCATTATTCGGTTTCGAAAATTACATTACAAATTTTCTATTTAAATTTGTTTTGCCAAAAAAAAAAAAATCAAAAAACGGGCAAATGTATTAACAACAATTTTTGGGGGTGAATTATTGGGAATTTTGACAGATAAAACAATAAGTAAGTCAGAAAGTTCAAATTAACAGCTGTTTATTGCTATTACAGCATCATAACAGCGACATAACGTCTGTTCGAAATTGGTTTTTATTAATAATATTATTATTAATATGAACTTTGTTTAATTATGTACCAATAACAGAATGTCCAATTAGAAAGTTGATGGCCTTTCTAATTATCGAACGGCAACGCTCATATGGAAGTGGTATCGATAGCTTACAGCTAACAGTACTCATTTTGGCACTGTTACGCGAACGGATTCATAAATCTGTGATTTTATTTTATTTGCGAAAATGACATACGACTATTCGGCGAATCCCCGAAGGTTTTTCCTCTAGAACTCCAACTTTTGTTGGGGAAAGCTCTACTTGCAATTCAGCGTAATAATTTGCATTCCATTGAAAACGCCAGTTTGGCGGGAATTTCGAATTTTTCAAAACAAAACTAACATAAAAAGTTAAAATAAAAAATATATGAACAAAGCGTTCAAAAATAAAAAAAATATGATGTAAGTGGATTTAATGAACACAATATATTTAATGTTATTCAACCCTGCAGATAATCCATTAGGAAGGGCTTATCATCAGCTCCATATGGAGTCAATGGTACATCGTACGGCAAGGGAAAAGCTGGAACACCATTCCGTGAATTACCCAGGGGAAAAGTCTCCTCGCCAGTCTGCAATTGTAGAAGTCAAAATTATTAACCAACCAAACTCAAGGCGTACTCAAACTCACCACAAATCTGGGCAGGAAGAGGACGCCTGCTTCGTAGTTGGCAATGCGCAAACATGGCTGAATATTCGGATTCTTGTTAAATGAGCCCCAGGCGGCCTTCGATAGATTCGCCGAGGTCAACACAAACCAATAGATGCACTGTTCCTCCAGATTGAAACGTGTATAGCTCTTAATGTGCGGCATGGCCTGTGACCGATGGCGATCCCCGGATTTCCATTGCTGCAGGTGTGCTTTGAGCCACGGCTGTTTGTCGTTTGTGTTGCGGCCATAGGGCAGACAACCGCCGCCCAACATGCCGTCGTGACTGCGCGACACATTGCCAAAGCTCGGATAGATCATTTTAAATGGTGGCAATTGACGCAGCCGGCCCAACGGTGTCGAATCCTTGCGTAAATTGCTGACAAAATCCTGCTGTATCCAGGCTTGCACATTGGCGCCCAGACTGCCAATACTGGAACTCTGACACACAACTGGAATGCGATCCTCCACGGGCGTCGCATGCTTGGCCAGCAACGAACCAAGACGTGCACAGCCCCAGGGATGACCACGCACAGCGCCCTCCCGATGACCACCAGGTACGGAGCCAATTAAGAAGACACTAAATGTGGTGGAGAGAGTAATGAAATTAAATGGATAAAGAGGCGGAGTCCCTGAACCCATAAGGTAGTTATAAGCGAATCAATTCTTAAAAGTGTGAGAGAACTCAAATTATTAGGAAGGAAGATGAAGCTTAGCTTTAATATAAATGGGCTATAATCAAGTTTGAATGTTGAATAATCTAATTCAATATTTTAAATCTTTTTATACTCACTTAACGGCACTGAAATCACTTTTGCGTATGCGTGCAATCCAAGGCTGGAGCTGTGACAACTTGTACTCGACCAGATACAGCATTAGATCCTGCTTGAAGCCAGTGGCACTCTCGCCTGCTGCTGTGTCCGCGTCCTCGGCCAGAGCGGGCAACCGCGGGCTAATCCATAAGCCCTGGGTGCGATTATGCCAATCGTCCTCGTACAAATTCGCTGTGGAGATGACAACTCGCATCGAGCCATCCGCATAGCCGAGCAGCATCATTTTTGTGTGCGATGTGGCAAACGGTGTTGGCATTTTCACCCTAACGGCTGTAACCTGTGGCTTGAATTTGCCGATGCCTAACAGCTCCGGCGATTCATCGCCGTAGAGCACAAGCAGGGGTTTGTCACTGCAAAGATCGTATTGAGATGGAAGATATATGTATTATTATTTACTTTAATATCAACTAGTTCTACTTATCAAGCGAACACTGTAGCACGATTAACTTACAGAATGCCCGCAAAATAATAGTGACCCAGCAGCCAGCCAATGTCGATCATAAAATTGATTTGAACAGTCGACTCAATCTCGCCGAGACTCTCATCAAGTATCTCCTGCAATGTGACACTCAATGGCTCCCCGTGCGTCGCCTTCGAGTCTGTGATGGCCGTAAGGAACATATTATAGGGCGCTGCACGCTCCAATTTCTGTGCCATTTTGCCCCTTTCCATCACAACGGGAATGTAGTCGCGTATGTTGCGTGCATTTAACTTTTGTTTCTTGGCCAGATTTGAGGTGTCTTTTTCAGCAATTACTGCTTCTGCTGCTGCTGCTGCATCTCGGCTAGTGCTGGCTGTGCTGTTGGATGCAGCTACAGGTGGTTGCTTTTTCACTGGTTTTGCAGCAGGAACAACAGCATCTGCTGTCGGCATGGATGCATGAGCAGCATCATCTGTTTTGCCAGCCGGCTGGGGGAACAGTTTCTCCAGCAGTTTAAGCTGTATATTTATCAGCTCACTGGAATACTTGGCGGGTATATCATATTGATTGCTGCTCGACTTGGTGCCCTGGGCATAAATTGCATCCACTATAAATCAATTTAGTAAATAAAATGTAATTTTGCAATTGTTTTGGTTTTTATTTACGATGCGGATGTGAATATTCGCCAAAGTGTATGGGATTCTTGCGGTAACATTTCTCGCCGTAGGGACACTCTTGCATCTTGTTTAAATTATTGATTTAAGTGTTTAACAACAAAAAATGCAAACGCCAATTTGCAAAACAAAAGCCGGAATTTGCTGCTGCCGATGCTGCGCTGCTGCTGCTCTGCAACGCAATGCAGAACTATCGATAGTGATATACTATCGATTTATATATACATCACAAGACTAAATATAAAATTACAGCCGTTATTGAGAGAGAATTGAAATGTGAACTGATTATGGCGTTGAGTCTTTGTGAAACTTTTTTGTAGCAATGCCTAAAGTATTTATTGGTGGTATCACGAATATGAGCTTGGATTTGTGTTATTCTTAACATGTTAACAAGTACAAAAAATTTGCGCACTTAAATACAATTGAAAATTTAAATTTCTCCCATCTCTAGCACTCAGCACAAGACAGCTATTGGCGTTGCCAGCGTATCGCTTAAAAACTGAATCCCGATAACAATTTATGCAATGAACATTATCGTAGTTGTATAAGCACAGTGATTAATACATTTAATGTTTATTTAAAAATTAATGCCAATTGTTTGAAAAGCATTTATTCATTTTCTGGCAAAGAGCAGTGGCAGCGCGTTAGTGTTGCAAAACGCTACTGTTGTAGCTAGTTCGTGTTGTACACCCTTCGTGTCTGTCGTCGGTCGTTTGTCGTCGTCGTCGTTGTCGTTGTCGTCGTCGTGTGTGCAGTTCCTATGATAAACAATTTCAAATAAATAACAAATTTCACATACTTATGGCGCATTAAAGTAAACAAACTGGCCACAAAAACGGACCACAAGTGTTCAATTGTACGCGTGAGTAGCATTCAAACAGTTTTATGTGCATTTCCATTGCAAATCTAAGCACCGTAGTCAGTGCAATTACGTTTGGTTGAAGAAAAAATTTTTTTCTTCTCATACTACACTACTTCTTATTCGCTGCGCGCTGCTGCCGAAAGAGACTTGGCTGGCGTCGCCGTTGTTGTTGTTGTTGTTATTGGTGTTGTATATGCTGCTGCTGCTGCTGTTACTCTTGCTCTGCAGGGATTACGATTACAGTTTTATTCTCAGCCTCTCGCCAGTTTTATGCTGCAATATGTGTGTGCTCGTGTATGTGTGTGTATATATATACATATGTGTTTTGTGCTGCGCGCGCCATTAATTGAACTAAAAAAAAGAAAAGAATAGAAACGTTGAAAACAATTATAAAAATACACACAATAAAATCAAATTTTTATTATGTTTTGAAAATACTTGAAATGTCGCTTATCTGCTGCTGCGGCGTGCACACAAATATTTCAGAAATCTTCTCATCTGCTGCTGCCGCTGCTGCTTTCGTTCTCGTTCGCTTTGAACCACACAATCCACTTGAATGCTGCCCAGCACAGGTGCGGATTACCACTGTGCAGGGATGGGTGGTAATTTAGGCTCTGCTTCCGATTTGAGTTAGTCACAAAGTCAGCACAAAAAAAAAAAAAAAACTCGATTAATAAATATAAAGGCGAACCTTCGAACCGTTATTAAATCAATGAGTCAGACAGAGAACTGGATACGCTCTGCTCAAACAAACTGTTATCACTCGAAATAGAGCAACTAAAAATGCTCTGTTATCAATTTCATCACACACCTTCACTTTGTACTCTTTTTCTATGCACCTACACAGCTGCATTTATACTGCGTGTGCGTGTGTGTATGTGTGTGTACGCGCTTATCTCTGCAACAGTGGAGCCTTCTGATTTTTCCTTTCTTAAAAATCATATAAGAAATGATAATTTCCTCTGAGGGAAGAATTTACAAGTTAGGATTTTATGGATTCCACACGAATTAGAAGCAGAGCATATATTTTGATACATAGTTTTTTAGTATTTGCGAACTTAAAGACTATAAGATTAATTTTGAATGGATTAGTCAAACTTTGAATTTTTTGAATCTATCAAAAATTATCTTATTGAATTGCATTTATTCAGTTGAAAATTATTTTTGAGAAGTTTTTCGGTGTGAGTTGCCCACTGTGCGCCGTTGTTGATGTTGTTGTTATCAGCAAAGCGCGCGCGCAAACCTTTCAAACAGCGACAAAAGCAGCAGCAGCAGTTTTGTGGGGGGCGGCACACTCGCCTAGGATTACATGTGTGTTTACAGTGGCGTATCTAGGCAGGGGTCATTGGGTGCGACCTCCAAAAACAGAGCCATAAATTGTGTCTTGGGCCTGATGCCTTTTCACATTTGTAGATATATTGCATTTTTGGTGCATTTAAATCATTGGTTTGTAAGGCCAAATGTTGCTTCTAATAAATCATGCTGAATCCCAAAATAAAACAAATCCGAATCTCATTTTTTTAGATGTAACTTTCCGATGTTGCAGCAAAATAGATTTTGAAAATTTCAACATCACTTTTATAGAGCATATGCATATATTGTACTCCCATTTTTCACAATGCACCCACTTATATTGTAACTTAATTGTTTACAGGTTTTATCCCATTTGTATTAACTTGAATAGCCTTTGTTCTTTCTTTGGGATTTCCACTCGCTACGCCACTGTCTGCTCATGTATAAAATATAAAGAATTGACTTCTTTGCGCCGTTAGACACCGCTCAGTCGCGGTCAACGTTAGCGTCAGCGTCAGCGTCGCTGCTTTCCTTTGTCGAAGGTAACTGAAGCGCAACCCAAGACGCAACTTTTTTTTTCCTTGTTGTGGGTGTGTTGATTTTTGCAGTGGTTTTTCTACGTATTTTGCGGTTCGTTGTGTATGTTCTCAACTTTTGTGCTATATGGCAACTACTTACATCTCTCCTATTGTTATTATTGTTGTTGTTATTGTTATTGTTGCTGTTGGCCAAGTGAGCATAGCATTGCATACTAGAGAGAGAGGGTGAGAGAGTGAGAGAGAGAGCGGGGGTATAAAAGCTCCTGCAATTGAAACTTGCTGCATCATCGCAATGCAAACGTTTTAAAGCTGCCTCTGCCACAGTACGTGATGCCAGACTAGACGATTCATTCAGCTGATAAGAGCTTCTCACATGCGGTGAGATTATTGCTAAACGTGCCTGAAAGTAAATCAGGTAAGCATTAATATGCCCTAAAACAGCAGCACCTATTTTATGTACAGTGATCGCTCGCCAAATATAACTCAACTAATTTTATATAATTGGTTGATAACTGCACTGAAATGGAAAATCTTAATCTACATAAATATCCCTATTTTTTTTTTTTTTAATTTAGCAATTTAATTATATATTTTGCAAATTAAACATACTATTCAAAGTTGAACACACCTTGTGATCCATTTTCTAAAACCCTCTGCAAGAGTTTTTATTTATTTTTTATGCTTGAATTTGACTTGGGGTCTCAGTTGTCACCGTGCGACATAAGATAAGCATCTTGGGTATCCAGGCACTTAATTAAGTTGTTGCCAGTCTATAACACAATAATAACACTCATAATAATAATAATAAAAAATAAAACTAAATCCGATTGACACGGGTATCTAAAAATAAGTTCAAATGCGTGTTGACAATTTGTTTAAATTTTTTTTGCCTCAATTTTCGTTTAATGTTTGCTGTTGGGCTTTAAGTTTTTTTATTACCATTGCTGGGATTATCGCGACAAGAAAATCAAGAGTAGCAACAGAAAAAAAAAGAAAAAAATTAAATATTTATATGGGGATATCAAAAATGAACAAGAGGGACGCCCACTGGCAAAAAAAGAGAAAAAAATACATTTATCTAGCTGAAAATAAAGTAAAACAAAAAAAAAGCGTAAATCACGCTTTCGATAGATCCAAAAATAGTTGTGCAGCGATAAGAACCCCGCCCCCAAAGCCATAAAGTCATGAAGCAACGGGATTAACAACAACAATAGCAACAATTGCGACTCAGGGCTTAGAGATCAACATGCAAATTTGTATGCGGCTTGTTGATTGTATTTCGCTTTATTTTTTATTCTGTGGCATGTGTTGCACATACACACAAACACACACACACACAGAATTTGCGCATAAATCCAATTAATAACATAATTATTTAGCCACAGACTCATTTACAAAAAACTTGCAGCTAAAAGTCGTTAAAATTGCTAGCTTTTTGCGGCAACAAGCTAGCTTGCAACAACCTGATGCGTAGGCCGTGTGTTCGGCCGCCTTCTCAGCTGGTTAGCTAGTTAATAATAATCATGCAACATGCTGCGGCATGCACCACTTCATATGCAAATTATTTAGTTTTCTGTTTTTGTTTTTGTTGCTGCCCCCCGAAATTGAAATATCGACTTTGCGCACTTAATTTTCGTTCGCCTGGCAAATTGTGAATTGCCCAATCAGCCCAACTGTGTGCAGCTCTGTCGAACTTTACATATCTACAGCTACGGTTGCGAAAATACCATCAAATTACAAGCTATCTTTGTTCTAGGGTTAACTCTTCTTAAGCGCAGCACAAAAGGAAAAAGATTATTTTCGATTACCTGGATTTTGTATAGAATTTTGGGGAAATGTGGCAGTCCAATTAATTAAAAATACTGACAAATCCAAAAGAAACAAAAAGTTACTGTAAATATATATCTCGGTCAGTTCAAGACCATCGTCGATCCACAAATACTAAGCTACAACCAACCAAAAGTTCTCCGTTTTTACTTAATTTGGTTTTAGACACTAAATTTCAATTTTAAAACTAGGCTGTAAAACCGAATAGTAGTTTGGTTCCCGTTCCGGTTCCGATACGTCAAGTGTAAATGTGTTGATAATGAAATGGTTCTCAAATTTTGTTTCCTTACTCGGTTAAGTTATGAAGCTATGTGAACGAATAATATCGGTTAACTAATTCAAAAATGTTTAATTTCCGGCTCTGAATTTCCGGCTTAATTCCGACTTAAAAGAGATCCCTCCATGTGATTTGTGGACAATATATTGGATGCATTTGATGGTCACCTTAAATACACAGAATCCAGTTGTATTTTTATGGGCATCACTGTAGTGTACATATATAAACAATATGCAACATAAATTAGAATAACCGTTTCGAGACGCAAAAACAAAAAGGAACGTAGGTTTTTGTTTTGGTTGCGTGGGAGTTGATGATTTGGAAACTACTCGAGGCAAGATTGGGTCAAATCGAAGGCGTCGAGGGAGAGAGACTAAAAACGCAACAGCTCACTTATTTTTCAATAGTTAAAAGTTCTTACAGTTCTTAAAATGATTTATTGGTCATGGCACATGATTTATTAGTCGCGCGAGTTAAGAAAAATGGCTTGCAAAATGTCGATTTCCAGTTGACTCAGCGTTGAAATAATATGTAACAAAAGCTAACTCGATTTGATATTACATGGAATATATGGACTACTGATTTGTGCCCATTAAATAGCAAATAATAAATTGCAATAGTTTTTTTCTTGACTTGGTGTTGGTGTAATTAGCAGTACAGTTGTGAACAAAAGCTAAGTAGTTTAACACTATTATTATTATTATTTTAATTAAATGATCAATCATCAAAAGCACAAAAGTTCAGCAAACTGTAAGAAATGTAAACTTTATTGTTATTATCATCATTTAATTAAACGATCTTCAGAATAATAAATAAATATTGAAAATATTAGCAAGTACACAAAATTATATAAACTATTTGAAACTGTATTTGAACACAGAAAAATAATGGTATACAGATATTAATGCTCTGATTCTATTTATCTATTACACATTGAAAAATACAAGTTTATTTTATCGATTAAGAATCAATTTTCACAATTTTTTAAGGAACAAGTTACGGGCAACTATATTATTAATTCATTTAGTACCATTGCTGAACCGAATACGGACAAAAAGTTGAGAAAATCATAACTTTTATCGAGCTACTTTTATTAGTCCGCAACTTTAACGCTTGAAATGCAGAATCATAAACAACATTTTTTAAAGAACCATTATATTCAGTTAAACACTAAACAATCCAGAAGTAGACCACAGATAACTCCAGCTTGTCCGTATGTCTCTCGGGCTCTTCCAGCTGTAAATCAATGCTTAAAACACACAACACCCACCCACAACTGGAGCAAGAGAAGAGTTCATTTTTACCATGTGGAAAAACTTCCATTCCTCAATTTTAGCATTGTTTTTATGCAGCGAACGATGGTCGTTAGTCAATGAGCCAAATTGAAGCAAATGGCAGCATTAAAAAGGAGAGGAGGCGAGTTGTGGTAAGGGAGGGAAAACTGCGACGGAGAAAAACTTATGAAAACGCAACTTTAAACTGTAATAAAGTGGGAAATTACCGCGTATAAATCTCTGTCGCTAAAGTGTCAAGAGTCGATTCGCTGTGCTGCGCAGTGGAAAGTCTGCAGTCGACTCCGGGGTAATTGAAACCAACACCCACACACACACCAGCACACACACAAACACACACGCATGTGAGTTGAGTTTACAGTTTGGCAGCTACTGTTGCAAGGCAGAGTCGACGTTTGCATATTAAATGCAACTCGGGGGCAGCGCCACACAAGTGGACGTTGTTGTTGCTGCTGTTGTTGTTACAACGCGCACATTTTGGTGTCTCTCGCATCGTGTATTATGTGTCTTGTTTGTGTTATTGTTGTTGTTGCTGTTTCTGTTGCCATTTGTTATTTGTATTCAGATCGCGCCACGCACACTTGACGCTGCCTGGCGCTTCACTGTCCATATAAAACTAATAATTATTGCATTTAAAATCTAATAAATAAATGCATTGACAATGCTCAGTGGTTGGTGTGTGTGTGTGTGGGGCAGAAAGGGGGCGACGGGGAGGTTGCAAAGCGGCATAGGAAGACGCTGTAAAATAGCCGCTCCTATTTTAATCGCGCTGAAATGTCCAGGGTTGGTTAACGTCTGAAACATGCATGCGAAATTAGCTAACATGGAGGATTTCAATTAAAAGGATATACTGGCCGAAATTATATACTCTGAACCCATTAAAAATCAGTAAAAAAAAAAGGGGATTGTGGCGAGGCAGATGGAAGACGGACCCCATAAATTATATATATTCATAATCAGCACCAACCACCGAGTCGATCTAGAGAGAGATCAGAGATTATGAGAGTGTATTTATTTTAATCGATAACTGTTTCCGGTTTGCAAATATCGATACAACCGATTTTCGATAGTAATAAAAGACACAATTGCAGAGATATAGCCCCTAATTTCATTCAGATCGGATAGGAAACATAGGTTCCAATTTAAATTTGTAATATTTTCAATTGGAAATTCACGCAGCGATTGTGTTCAGTTTTAGTTGATCGTTTATGCGAGCGTTCAAACTATAAACATTGTTTTATGTTCTCCAGTCAGATTCGAGGATCACCTCAAAAATAGTTTTTGTGTTATCGAAGTAGTTACGCAACCCTGGTTTCTTGGTTCAGTGTGTAGCGCAAAATACGCATAATGAACATCATCATGATGAGCAATTCTTGAGAGCTGTTTGTTGTTGTTGCGACTGTTGTTGTTGCGATTGTTGTTGTTGCTGTTGTGTTTAGTGACAACGCTTTTGCTGCCGCTTTTGACCATAATTGTTGTACTTGTCATTGGCAGTTGTTTGCGTCGCGTTGCCAACTGCTGCTGCAACTGCAACAGCAACGGCAAACGCACCGACAACGTCTGGTTGTTGTTGTTGTTTGTGTGTGTGTGTGTGTGTGTGTTAAATACATGTAATTAGCCATGTTTGTACCATTTAATCCGCTATGGACTCGCATGTTCTACTCCTACTTCGGCTCCCCTCTCCATCATCTCCCTCACACATTCTCTGGCGACGCTTTTCTAAGAATTCTTTGCGTTTTGTTTTGGCGCACGCATTAGGCGCCACAAAGCGCGGCCACGTTTAACCCCCAAGCAAGTTGCAGTTGCATTCAGTTGCAGCAGCAGTCAGTGCCTCTCGCATACTCCACATATTTATGGGCTATTTAGGCGACTGGATGCTGATGCTGCTGCTGCTGTTGCTGCTAGTGGCATGCAACACTGCAGTGTGTGTGTGTGTGCGATGTGCGATGGTGGTCGCTGGTTACTGCGTCAGTCATTGGCATTGATTGGCAGCCGAACATGCAACAATTGTTGCATGGCGCTGAACTGAACGCTTACGCCTGGCGACGCCTTTTTTTCCAGTAGCACCAAACAACGACAAGAACAACAACAATCGCTGCCGCTGCTGCTGCTGCAACAACAACAACAATTGCTGCAAGCTCACTTTTGGCACATGTGTTTTTTGCGTATTTCATTTTGCAAACATAAGCAAAACGTAATTTAAATATTTTCATCAAGCAAATGTGATTTTTAGGGCGATTTAAAGGCAGCAGACTTTTGTTGTTTATGTTCTTGAAATTATTCGTATTCACTCGAAGGTTAAGGTTTTTGCGGTTCTTGAAAGAAGTTTTGAAAGAACATTTGCTAGCTTAATATGTCAAAGCTCTTGACAGAAAAACCTACAAATTTAAATTCATTAATTTGTGATCTAAAATGATTAAAAAGTAAATGGGTTAAGAAGCAGTGAGTAAGAGAAGCGATTGAAATGGAGTAATACAATCTGCAACATTTTTGTATTGCAATAAAAATCTGGAGTAGTTTGTACTTGATACAATATAGTTCTTTTCTTAAAAATGATTTAGATTTAGATTAAGAATTCAAATTCGAACTGTGCCTGCAATCATAAGAACCAAAACTGGTTGAATTCTAGCCTGTGTAAACAAATACTTAAGAACAGCGTTTTTCTCAGCATAGTATTTACTTGACTAAAATGATAGTATTTTCTTCTTAAAGCCAACATATCAACTCTTTTTGTAAACAGAAAAGAATAAAATTGTTAGATTTAACGGGTGAAAAAAGGAACTGGCAACAATTACATTAGTATGGTGTGTTAACACGAACCTACCACAATGTTGCCAGTTGGCAACGCTGTCAGTTGCTTTAGGGTTGCTAAGTGCTGTGGTTTCTTTTGTTGTGCTTATCCTTTGTATACCGTTGACAGCTCAATTACATTAGAAGGGCGACCGGTATGCGTGCGTTTTAGCAATTAACGCGTCAATTATTTGTAATTAGAATTGACTTAATATTTTTTTGTGTGTGACTGCAAAAGGATTTTCCCTCCTTTTTCTGTTCACTTTTGGCACGTGCGCAGTGGGCATGAGAGAGTGGGAGAGAGAGAGTACTAGAGATAGAGAGAGAGTGGGAGAGAGCATATTGCATATGTATATAAAATTTGCATGCATGCATACATTTTTATGGTAGTTTATGTTTGTTGCTGCTGCTGCTATTGTTGTTTTTATTTGTTTAGGGGTTGCGCTTCAGCAACTATTTTTGTTTTTTTACGACAACTGCGTTATGTTGCCCATGGTGGCAATAAATTCGCGTTTAGTAGTGTTAAACACGCAATAAAAACTGGGCAATATTAAAAGTGGCGCCCACTCCACACACACACACACACGCAGGCAAACAAACAAACACACACATCTGGCAACACCAAAAATGCAATTTGACCGTAGAGTTAGTCAGTTAGTTGGCAACGCGAGGCATGCAAGAATTTTGTTTGATAGATTTGAACGTTTATTTTTTTCACTTTTTTTTTTTGCTTTTCTTCCCTCTGCATCATTCCACATACACGTGCTGCATTTACAGTTTGATTGCAGCCCACACGTTTGCGTTCACGTGCAGATAGAGAGAACATTTGATTTGTTTAAAGTACATTTTTTTTGTGTGCAACGCGGTTTGTGCTTGGTTGCTTGTGTTATTGTTTGTGGTTTTTTTTTACACAAGGCGGCAGGCTGGCAAACCACAAAGCATCAATTAGCAGTTAGTCGAAACCAGGGCTACATAAGCCAACAAAATATCGTTGACCTATTGGAAAGTAATTCAAATTTGTGCATTGAATAATAAAGTACATCAAAAGAATCGTAACGCATATGTACAAAAATATATCGATAGCGTGAGCTGCTCTTATTTTTGGCCTGCTAGAGTTCTTTTTTTGTTGCTCCTTGCTGGTGGCGCTTGTTCTCTTTCTCTCTCCCAGCCCTGATACTCACTCTACTCTCTCGTCGCAACCAACTGGTTCGCTTGCTGCTCGTTCGTTCGCTTCACTCATTCGTCGCTGATCGTTCGCTTCGTGCAGTTGTGTTTTTTGTTAGTGTCGCGCTTGTTGTTCCTGCTTCGTTTCAAATTTTGAATGGGATTTATGCAAATATTTACGCAAATAATTTATTTATATACATTTGTAAACAATAATATTAAAATTAAATAATAAACCTAATGCGCAAAATTGAACTCGTTTGCTGCAGTTCGCGAATAAATTTCAATTTGTTGTTGTTGTAATTGAAATTGAAATTGCGGCTGCCTTTGTGGAGGGTCTCGAATAACATTATTTGGATTCTGATTTTTGATTTGTGCCGCTGCAGCGCTGCGTGTGTGTGTGTGCCTTGTAGTATAAATAAATAACATAATATCTGCAATCTTTGCCATATAAACGTCAACACAAGGCAAAGAGACGACAACAACAATTTGCAGCAACAGAAATCACCGTCGCCGACATCCATCGCGAAGAAGAGCCGTGAACCATTCTTCCCAGCACTCTTTCTCTTCATTCTACAAACATGTGTATGTGTTTTATATTGATTTTCGTATGCTCTTTAAAAATATGGTAAAACGGGTGTTGTAAGACTAACATAGTTTCAATTTTTTTTTTTATCATATTCTTATAAATTGAATATTTGGGATATTTACAGTATCATTATTAGCAGGGTATCTGCTCGCCGAGCATTCTCTCTCTCAACTAGAGCATTCTTACATGTTATTGTTGTTGTTTGATTTCTTGATTTTCTCAACTAAATCAAACTGTTTGCTGGCGTTTTAGGCTTGTAGTTTATCTTCATTGCTTTTTTGTTTATTTTTAAACACATGTCCCCACACGCATACACACACACACACAAATTTACATTACACACGCACAGCGAAGTCCTCGTCTCCCTTTTTGACATTTTATCAACGGCAACGGAAGCGCAGCAATAAGTTTGACTTTACTCTGTCCCTCTCACACGCACCCCTTCTACTATCACTCTCTCTCTCTTTCGCTCTCTTGGTGGCTAGTGTTGCTTTACCTGATGCTCTTTGATTTACGCTTTATTGTCATTGCCGCATTTATGATTGATTATTGATTGGAATTATATGATACGCATGCGCGAATGCGTGCCTGCAATACGTGAGTGATTCCTTTTGGCTTCTGCTTTTGCGCCTTCATTCTCCTTTTGCTCTTCTTTTGGAAGGGGATCGCTTGAGTTATGAGATGGTCTATTGTTGTTGTTGTTGTTGTTTCCTGGAAGAATCTGCGACAGTTCGGCCGGATTGGAATTGCCCCTCTTTCTTTCTCTCTGCCTCTCTGGTTGCTGTCACGCATTTAATCGATCAGACGGACTTAATTTGTAATTGAAGTTTACGTTTATTGCTATTTAATTGTAGTCGCAATCGCAATCGCAATCGTTTGTGAAATTGCCAGACTTTAATCGAATAAAAAGTGCTGTAAAATTTGTAACAGACTTTAAAGGAAATGAATTATTTTGAGTAGCACTTCCAGCGAACAAAGAGGCACTTACTTTTACTGCAAACGCTTGGCGATTTTTTAGTTTGCTTAATTTCCAACGAACTTCAACTTTAATCCATTCACAAAGAGTAAGCTTTCTTCAATATTTAATGACGCACTAATTTTAAAATATTTTTTTTTACCCTAAATTTATAGTTTATTTACCTCGCAAATAAGCAAATAATGTCTTGTTATTTTGTATTTGTTTATTTACCCAACCAAATCTAAACCCTTTAATAAGATAAGCAGCTGGGTTTGTGGGCAGTTCTTATGAAAATGCCATAAGGCAATATCATCAATGTCAATAAGTCAAAGCCCCCACCTGCAAAACAACAAGCTGTTGAATTTGGGGAGCCTCGGGGGCATTATTATAACAACAACTTTTGAATGCTCAACCCAAAAATCAATCGAGTTGCAATTAAAGTTTAACGCTTGTTTGCCAGCTGTTCAAATATTTAACAGTGCTTGCTTGGGAGGGTTATTAGGGGGGCATGTGGCATATACCCGGCCAAGTGTTGTGCCTGAGGTCGGTAGAATATTTTTTGGGGCGGCTGCAGGCAAACAAATTGTCAACAGAAAGACCACAAAAACAAAAACAAAACAAAAATCAGGCAACGCCCCGCGTAGGCTGTCAAAAATTGCTGAAAATTAATTCACGCTGCGGCTAATTTGGCCAAAAACAAATTTACAAGTGTCTGATGTGTGTGTGTGTGTGTTTGGCAGGCGTGTTTGGAGGTGTCTCCAAGTGTTGCACTTGTTGATTTATTGTCAGCGTTTAATTGCTTTTGAAATTGGATTTGAATTTGGCTCCCAATTGCCCCTCCACGAAATTAATTGCTACAACATATTTTCATTCAATTTGATTTTTCACACTCGACACAGACAAGTGCTTAAGATATGCAGAGAAAGAGTGTGAATTTTCCCTCTTTCTCTGTGAGAAATGTCGTTCACATTGAAGTGTCATAATTCATATTGAATTGTTGTCTTTACCGTTAACATTAATGGTCTATGAAGCGCAAACTGGGCAAGGAGAAGGGGCAGAGACACAGAGTCTTGATTGCACTTAGGTGGTGGTTGACAGGTTGCACATTTTGATATTATCTCTTTATTGTACTAATTATGAGGTCTATGTAGATCTAATCGCTGCAAAACCAACGGTGTGGAGACAGTTAAAAAAGAATTTAATAATAATAATAATAAGAGCAACGTATTTATTGACACGCACATTTCGTGATTTTCGTTATCAGAGAGTTATACGATCCCAAATTACAAGACTTGGATATGGAATCTGCTGATCAAGAATATATATACTATGTGGGGTTAAAGAAGACTAGGCTTCTTACTGCTAGAATAAATATACTAAAATTTGTATTTGATTTATCCTAAAGCTGTGCTTACCTTTTAAGCTCTCACTTCCATGAACAAGAAACTATTTTCTATGAGAAATATGAATAATTTTACTGTTTGACTAACGTTGACAAATTCACAGAATTAAAAATGTATCTTATCTTTATGTATTTTTTATGTTACCAAGAAATAGCACTTGTCTTACATTTTGCAAACAATTGTAAGTATTCAATAGAAACGACGGGGACTTTTGCATTAGCTTGTTAATAAACAAATAATTTATTTGGTTTGTGGAGCATTGCAATGAGTCATCAGCAAAGTTGAGCGATTAGCGTCATTCCCCGAAGATGGCCACAAAACTGGCATTTCTCAGGCATAAAATTAAAATTCATTTGTGAATGAACAGCAAAGTGACTCAGTGAGCTTCACAACAATGGACAGCGCTCAATAATAAATTATTAACTAATATTGCTGAGCTGAATGATTAATAATTTAAGGCGATGTTTAAGATATGCCTAAATATGTGGGCACATATATTTACATAGATTTATTTGGGGTATTCTTCTACTCAAATTAATCATGCTTTTCTTTTCAAATGTATATGCATAAAGCTACTTTAATTGATTAAGTTTCTAGTAGGCCTAGCTAATAAATTCTTTCTTTATTTTAACGCCAACTTTCACAAATATTTATTGACACTTAATATATTTAATATCCACTATATATACTATATTATTGAGGAAGTGAAATTTCAAAATAGTCGGTTTCAAAATCAGAATTCTGTTGAATATATATACCAATTAACCATCTAAGTATCTATTTATATTTGATTGACTGCAAGATAAACCTAGACACACTTTCAGCTGAGGTCAGAAGATTAGTATCAGTTCAACTTTTAGAGAATTTATCTTGTAGATAGTTTTATATGCGTATTTTGAGATACATTTAAGTATGACATTGACCGCTGCTGTATGTCTTCTTCTGAGTTGTTATTGCTCTGCTCAATGATAGAAAACTGAATTCTTATTAATCAGAAAGCATTTAATTTAATGCATGCCCGATCGATGGTATCTCTCCGCTTTTTTTTTTAAGTATTTGTTCTTCTCAATTGAATTTTGTTTGTTTTTTATTTTTGTTGTATGATTTGCATGCAATGGGCGGCGACCTTGAGCCGCATAGCCAAAAGGGGGAGGAGTCAAGCATGATTTGTGTGCAGCAGCAGCAGCAGCAACAATAATTTAAATATCCCATCTAAAGACCCTCCTCCACATCCCGTCTCGCCCCCTAAAACAAACAGACGTCGACGACGACGACGACGACTTCATTTGAAGCTGGGCAAATGGCCAAGTTTCTATTTGTTTATATAATTATTATTGCTTGTGGGCGTTGCTTAAATCCAATCTAATCGCAGCTTGTATTGATATTGATGTTTGCATTTATATATATATATATATATATATATATATATATTATATATATATATAATTGTGTATATATTTATGATTTATTTCTAAATGCTTTTGCATTGGTTTATTCCATAGACTATCCGCCCGTCGATAGCTATACCGGTTATCGGGTAACTCCACCCAGCAGCCACAACAACAACAATAACAACAACAGTACACACAGCGGCAACAACAATCACAACAACAGCAGCAGCAACAACAACAACAACAGCAACATACACTGCAGCAGCAGTAGCAGTAACAATAACAACAACAGCCACAACAATAACAGAATGGACACCGATGATGTGGAATCAAATACAAGCAGCGCCATCACAACATTGGGCACATTATTCTCATTCCAATCGCCGGCCGTTAAAAAGCTACTCGGCTGGAAACAGGGCGACGAGGAGGAGAAATGGGCCGAGAAGGCCGTCGACAGTTTGGTCAAGAAGCTAAAGAAGCGCAAGGGCGCCATCGAGGAACTCGAACGTGCTCTCTCCTGCCCCGGACAGCCATCCAAGTGTGTGACAATTCCACGCTCCCTAGACGGAAGATTACAGGTAAAACTCAACAAAAAGCGAGCTTTAAATTTAGTATTCAAATTGAGTTCAAGGCACGCTCAAAAAGCTCGGGTATTTCCAAGTCTGCTCAGTTTTACCAGAGTTATGACAATAAGAAGTTTTGCCTGCCTCCTGAAATGCAGTTTTAATCTTGAATTAAAATCATTCCCAAACCGAATTTCCTAGTTTTTGAAAATGACTGATCACTTTTGATCTAAATTTTAGCATGAAAATCGAGTCGGAATCGCAAACTCAACTTTAAATGTACAAATTTTCTAGATGTCAAACAGTGATCAAAAAGCCCTGGTTTTTAAAAATCCGATCAGTTTTGACAAAGTTATGGTCCTGAAAAGATTTGAAAGCGTTTTTTGCTCCTGGTTTTTGAAAATCTGTCAATTTTTGAATACATTTTGGTTGTGGCAAGGTTTCATCCGTCTCTTTTATATCTGTAAAATGAACGCGTTGCTAACTTTAAATGCAGCTATAATCTAGAAGTAAAACCACGATCTAAAAAGCCCTAGTTTTGGCCAAGTTTATGGCCATAACCATTTTGTAGCTGTATCTAAAACCGATTTGTTTAAAGTTAGTATTTTAGCATTATTTACTAAAGCTTGCCCAATTTAAGATAAGAGAAGATTGCTCAGATTTGTGTAAGTTTTTTGATTTTATAAATGTATTCAATTAATAAATAATGTTTGTAGTTTTAGTGGAATACAACTGCAATCTTCTTGCAAATGGGTAGTTGTAGTTGATTCCCTTGATACACATTTACTAACTTCCTCCAATCTATCTGTCTGTTGTAGGTATCTCATCGGAAGGGTCTGCCGCATGTGATTTATTGTCGGGTTTGGCGCTGGCCCGATTTGCAGTCGCATCATGAACTGAAACCGCTCGAATTATGCCAATATCCGTTTAGCGCCAAACAGAAGGAGGTGTGCATCAATCCGTATCACTACAAGCGGGTGGAGAGTCCGGTGCTGCCGCCAGTGTTGGTGCCACGCCACTCAGAATTTGCACCGGGCCATTCGATGCTGCAGTTCAATCAGATGGCCGAGCCGAGTATGCCGCACAATGTTAGCTACTCGAACAGTGGCTTCAATTCGCACAGTCTCAGCAATAGCAACACATCGGTGAGCAGCCCCAGTTCGGTTAACTCCAATCCAAATTCACCGTATGACAGTTTGGCGGGCACACCGCCACCCGCCTACAGCCCCTCGGAGGATGGCAATTCGAACAATCCAAACGATGGCACACAAATGCTCGACGCCCAAATGGGCGATGTTGCCCAGGTTAGCTACTCGGAGCCAGCATTTTGGGCATCCATTGCCTATTATGAGCTCAATTGTCGCGTCGGCGAAGTCTTTCACTGCAACAACAATTCGGTCATTGTTGATGGCTTCACGAATCCATCGAACAACTCCGATCGCTGCTGTCTCGGCCAGCTGAGCAATGTGAATCGCAACAGTACCATTGAAAATACACGCCGTCATATAGGTGAGTACAAATCCAGGGAACAGTCGGTTGGCTATTTAATGGGAAACAGTCAGTTTAACTAGAGACTTAGCTAATACTCAATAATAGCCGAATGAGTTCGTCTTAGCCAGGAGCAGAAGGAGAAGGTTCCCTAGTAATCAACTTTAACTTTAACTCTACAAAGATTCAACAGGTTCAGAGGAGTGCACAACATAGATCTAATAGATTGCAGCACATTAAGCCTTCCTTAATAATAATAATAATAACTAGAGAAAATCCATTTTGATAACTTATTAAAATTGCTGTTTGCTTTAGCATTATACCACTGCATTCACTTGGATCTAGAATGCCTCTCTCTGCTAAATAGCTGCATATCTTAATGTCTTGCTCTACCTTGATTGCTGCTGCTCTCAGAGTTCTCACTTCTCTGGCCACTGTGGGTGTAGTCCTCTAGCTGAGCAAGATGCACGAGCGGTTGCCAACTGCCTGGCTAGATTGTCAGCAATTTGAGATATAATAAAACTTTGTAGCAGCAACAGCAATAGAAATATTGATCTGCTATTGCCAATGCTACGAGACAACTGAAATAAATGCTCTTTCGCTCTGCTCTCTCTCTCTCTCTCTCTCTGTAATTTGCAAGAGCAATAGCAAGAGCATTATGCGCTCTGCAGCAGAAAAAACTAGAGCAGAGGAGGAGCGTAGCAGCCGAACTCTACAGCTTCGGCTATTGCTCTCGCATATTTGTTTTGCTCTCAGCATATCTGCTCTTTCAGTTGCTATTATTCTATTAAGTAAATTGGTTTAAGAACAATACTTATACAGATTATAAAGCACTCGATTTTTAGTTTATTTTGGAAATTTGATAAGCTCATAAGTCAGTATAAAGAAGATGATTTGTTATACTTGTAGTTGCTTTGCACTTTTTCTATAGTTATTATATGTAAGATATATATATATATATTCTGTACCATCTATAATTATTAATATTCTGTCTTGGGTGTTTTTTGTAGGTAAAGGCGTTCATTTGTACTATGTTACTGGGGAGGTGTATGCCGAATGTTTGTCCGATTCCGCCATATTTGTGCAGTCGCGCAATTGCAATTATCATCACGGCTTCCATCCGAGCACTGTGTGTAAAATACCGCCCGGCTGTTCGCTAAAGATCTTCAACAATCAGGAATTTGCTCAACTCTTATCGCAATCGGTGAACAATGGCTTCGAGGCCGTCTATGAGCTGACCAAAATGTGCACGATTCGCATGTCCTTTGTCAAGGGCTGGGGCGCCGAATACCATAGACAGGATGTGACCTCGACGCCCTGCTGGATCGAGATACATTTGCATGGGCCGCTCCAGTGGCTGGACAAGGTGCTCACCCAGATGGGCTCGCCGCATAATGCAATCAGCTCCGTATCCTAAGCAAAGACAAACAAAAATTAAGCAAAACTAATTCAACAAATCGATTTAAAATGAAACAAAAAATTAAAAAAAAAAAATAAAAAATAAAAACTAAAAAAAAAACAAACAAACAAACCAACAAAATACACATAAACTCCTCGCAGATCAGATCAGCTTTTCTAATCAGAGACAGAGAGAGAAAGAGAAAGAGGGAGACCATCGTGTGCTTTGTGTAATATGCCTTATATATAAATGAAAAACAAAAACAATAATAAAAACAAAAAAAGTAAATATGTATACATAGTTATATATATATACACATATATATATATATATTTTAGACAGCTACTCAACCCGCCTCTCGCCCCCCATTAAACATACTTATCTATTTTATAGTTTAAACTTTAAACATATGATTTTCTACGCGAATGTCATTCCTTATGCAAAAAAAAAAAAACAACAAACAAACAAACAAATAAAAGCGAGTTATAGTTATGAAAACTAAACTAAAATTCGAACTATATATAAAAAAAAAAAAAAAAAAAAAGAAATGAAAAATTTATGTACTATTATAATTATAAATGATATATGCCCATTGGCAAATGTTGTTCAAGTCTATTTCAAGTGCTACTTTATGTGTCATTGCGAATTGCTTTCAAAGAACAGCGCAGAAACAGTAAAACAAACAAAATACATAAATATTTATATACACAATATATACATATACATATGTATATACATATGTATATGTATATATATATATTATAAAGCATACTTATGTAGGGCAAGTTTTAAACAACTTTTATGCAATACATTTCTTAAAAACAAACAACAACAACAACAAACAAAAAACACAACACAAAAGTTACGCTTAACTAATTGATGATCTTGTTTATGTTTAAGTACAATTTGAGTAACAAAAACGAAAAAAAAAATGAAAAAAAAAACTACATTTTAATTTTAATCATACTGGTTTAGTTAAGTTTCTTTATTTCCTATTTTTAGTTTGCTTTTTGGTTACATTTTCAGTTACATTTTTTCGCTGGTTTTTTGAAAAAAACACATGATTTTTTTATTATTGTTTAAAGCAAGAAATTTGTGCCGAAATATTTTGTATAAGTAGCTCTAATGTCGAATCATTTTCTGAAATAAAAAAAAACACAAAATCAGTTTTGCCTTCAAACTACTTATAATGATATATATAGATTTATATATATATATATATATATATATATATATATTATATATAATACATAAGCTGTAAATTAATGGCTTAAATGCAGGACACTAGCCTTATAAGAAATACTGTGTAATAATTGTGCCTAAACACATTTTTGATTGCGCTTTCCATGTGTGTCTAATTAATGTGTATTATTGACAAAAACAAATCAAGCTCATTTTCATTTAGAAATGGCTTGAAAACGAACAAAAAAAATAGTTACAAATATTTGCCTTAAAGTTTACAGTTTTTAGCAGCAACAAATACACACACACACACACACACACACACACACACACATTTTGAATTGCCTTTTGCTTGCTTAGTGCAGCGTCGTTTAATGTAATTGTGTACTAAACAACAACAACAACCACAACAACAAAATACTATTGTAAAACAATTTTTGAAAACTTAACGTAAAATAAAGAAATAAAAAAAAAACAACTGGCAAGGCTTATTATTATCGCCACTTCTGGCAACGCTGATTAGCGCACTGTCATCGATATATATCGTTAGTGTTGTGCACTCGATAAACAGCTGATGGCTATCTCGCTCTCGGCATTCAGTTTATATTTTGGTCACATTTGGTTTGGCTGCTAGAATTTGTCAACATGGAACAATCGGCAGTGAACGATCCCTTGGAAATATTGACAAATAAAGGCACTCGCCAGCCCACATTTTTGTCTCCGATATGGAATCCGATGGCTGGTTCTTTGGCCGGCTTTGGCATTGCGATGTTTGTCAACTGGGGCTTCCGTAAGCCCATTTTCTCTGGTTAGTGTTGTGACGTAACATTGTTTGTTGGAATAGTTTTCATTAACACAATTGCAATTGCAGGCATTCAGAAACACATTGCGTTTACGCTGCTTGGCGGCGGCATTGGTGCCTTTCTCGACCAGAAGCGTGACGCTTATCTGGCAAAGCGCGATGCTGTCTTGCGGCACTATGTTGAACTGCATCCCGACGATTTTCCCACTACTGGTGAGTTTTCGGGCGCCTGGAAATTCTATTCACTCTCTAATTGGTTGTGCTCTAATTCTACTTGTCCTCCCAGATCGCAAGAAGTACGGCGATGTCTTGGAAAGTTGGGTACCAGTGCGTTAAGCGGACAGTGTTGTCACTTGATCTGCGGCTCAACATGGCCCGTCTCAATGCGGCACATTTTTAGTAAATACAACGGCTTTAATTGTAATATCTATGAATATAAAATTATAAAGAAGCTTTCCTCTCGCATCAAATCATTTTTTGAGGCATTTCATTGCTTGCCGCTGGCAGTGTGACCGTTTGCTTTAATTGCAAATGCCTGCAAGGCGCGCAAATTTGAATGTAATCGATATCGAGTAAATTTTGCGACACAAATATTGGTTGTTTAACTATAACTGCCATAAATTATATTTTACATATATTTCAGTACATTAATTCAAACTAACTCATCGTATTGCATTATGGTATTTTAATCGAGCATTTAGTATATTCGTTGGTCAAATTTAGCACAATATCGATGTTTCCGAAAAAAGTGTACTGCTGCTCTTGCCAAAATCAGGCCTCTCTTTCAGAGTCAACTTCAGTTTCCGGTGAATCGTTCTTTGAGTCGGATGTGTGTGCGTGCGCGCAGCGGAAAATCGTTCAAAATATCTTTCACCAGCCGAGATAAAATAAGAAAAATGAACGCGCCAAAAAAAAATCAATAAGAATTTATTGCTGACATCAAATTTAATCTAACTAAGTAATAAGCAAATAAAATTAATTGTTCGGCTTTTTTTTTTTGGCTTTTGCTTACCTACATTCCGTGCGCGTGTGTGTGTGTATGTGAATGTGAGTGCATGTGTGTGTGTATGTGAATGTGCCATGAGGATTTTACCGTTACAAAAAATGGCGCAAACTCAGCGTGCTTGAGTAAATTAATAAGTTAAAGCAACAACAAAATATAAAAATAAACGTCGCTCCATTTTACACAAATTATATTGATCATTAACCAAAAACAAAGTATTTAGTGTTGTGTGTGTGCCTATTACTGTATTTTTCGCTGGCGCCAAGCAGCGAAAATAACAACAGCAACAACAAGCGCAGTGACTGGAAAAGTTCATCAAAGACGACAGCGCACGTCAACCGCAGCAGCGCAGCAGCAGCAGAGCCGAAAAAACAACAACAAAAGCTCCGCAAGCTCGGCCGACGGCTTTTTTTTTTTTTGCATTTGCCTTTCATGCAAACTTCTCACAGGCGAATTTTGTGAGCTTATCAGCAGCAGCAGCAGCAGCTACAACAACAACAGCAACAAACAAACAAATTATGTCAAAGGTAAGCAAAGCTTTTAATTTCATTAGAAAATTATTTATTTATGCGCTGTGCTCCTTTAGCGCACATCACTCCATTTGTTGTCCTATTCTAGCACACGCATTCGCAACTACCGCAGGACTTTACTTGAGTGTGTGTGCCTGAGTTGATTTTCTCTTGTGTTCCGTATAAATTATGCATATTTGTGGGTTTTTTCATGTATGTGAGGGTGTGAGGGGGATGGGTATACATTGATTTCCTGAGTTTGGTTTTTCCCCCGAGGGAAAGGTGCGATTTTTATGGCGTGTAAAATTGGCAACAAATGTTTCGACTAACGAGTGGGGAGCCTAAAGAATTTCTCTGTATTTGTGTGTGTGTGTGTGAGTGGAAAAACCGAAAAATAAATACGGGGTTAAAGAAATTGCAATGGGGAATCGGACACTTTAATGTTTTTGATGTGCTTGGATTTGTCTTCTTCTTGTGCTTCTTGGATTACTTTCATATATCTTGTTTCCAGTCTTATTCCAAGCATTTTCCGTGGAAAAATATCAGATGTTTGCAAAGAAACAAAATTTAAACGAATTCTTAGAACTTTTTTGGGAAAAATGAAAAAGAAAAATGAATTTAAATCAAATTAACAATATTTTCATTTGCTTACAGTTTTAATTTCATTAATATGATTAATATCTCCTTCGTAAAATTCGTTTTGATATGCTTATAAGGAATATCAATCTTTGTCGTTTCTACAATCGCAATAACCATAAAAACATCTCAAATCTAGAACTCTTGCAGCTATAAATTATTTAGACCATGCCCAACAAATGTGTGTGTGTTTAACCCACGGAAAATGTCGAGAATATATCAATTGTGGACTATGAAAAATAAACATGGCCTTTTTTTTATTTACTAAGTTCCACACTTGGGATAATATATTTTATAAAATGTCACTGAGCTGCTGCTGCTGCTGCTGCTCCTTGTTATTATCCTTGCACTTGCAGCAGTAGCAGCAGCAGGAGCTGCTTCTGCTTCTTCTTTTGCTGTTGTTGACACACACACAAAAAAGCCACAACCGACAATTGTATAAGAGAGTGAAATAAAATGTAACACACACAAAAGAATGGAAATGTTGTTGAGGGGAGCGGTAAGGGTGTAGGGGGTAGGGGGTGTGGTGGGAGAAGCACAGTTGAGACGACAAAAGGAGGCCGCCGCTGTTTGTTGTTGATGACGTTGATGATGCTGATGATGATGTTGATTATAAGGCTTGTCGCGGAAGGGCACACAATAAAAGTGCAGCGTCATTGAGTACAGCTCTTGTTTTTTTCGTATACCCTGTAGTATTTATCAGCATTGGGTTTGAAGCAGCCTTAAGGGAAATTTAGGTTAACAGCGATTGTTTAGCTTATTATATCGAAATTACCGTTTTAATATAAAAAACTATTTGAATCTTTTGTCAAACTGAAACGAAGTACGGTAATGATAAGTGAAGTGTTGGTAAAAATAATGAATTTATTCTAAATTATTTTGGGTATTCGGTTTCGTATTGAACCCTTGATTATATCGATCATTATCAAACTCTAAATAATAATAATAACAGTTCAGTTTACTGGTTCGATTTCGACTTTGACGCCGGTTCCAGTATTCAAAATCAATAGGTTTGATAGTTCTAGTTCTGTTTCTGGTATAAAATGGAATCCATATTGCAATAGATCTGGTATAATTTTCCTTATGCATCTGTCAGTGCAATAAATTGGAATTTCGAAGTGAAATAATTTTCTTATCACGAATTCCAGTTGCCAGTTAGATTAAAGACTTGTCCAAATAGTTATATTATTAATTTCTTTAGTTAGTTTCTTTTCTATAAGTTATCTCTTCCCTTTAGTTACTTCAGGGGTATCCATAAGTCTATCAATTGGCTTGCATTTTGTATTTGAATGCGGTTTGCAAGTCGCGTTTCAAGGACAAAACGCTCTAGATACGCCTACGCCTAAGTATATATATAAATAAATATATATCAAGTCTGAGCTGGATGCATATAAGAGATATATATTTAAAATTAATATAAAAACTTTCGTTTAGTCGTTCTTGTTGTTCTTGTTATTGTTTTTATAGGCCAAGCTGTTGGCCACGATTATTTGCTGGGGAGCAGCTTGAAAAAACATTTGCCAGCTGCCTGAGTGGAAAATCAGAATTTTTATGCGGGGTGCCATAAGCATAACATAAAAAAAATGAAACAACGCCAAATGCAAACGCAATAAAATTATATTCATGTATAAAAGGGAGGCGTGGCACATAAAAATAAGGCAACTTTGGCTCAAAGACAAGTGACGCGAATAAGGTAATTTATCCGAGAAAAGATATAAAATATGTATATACATAGACAAGAGAAATTAAACAGGCACGCGACGGGTAAGCTTCTCGTGCTCTCAAACCAAGCACTCACTCTGCCACACCCCCACACACACACCCAGCCAGCCACACACACTCCTATCAAAAATGCATGAGCGAAATTGTCTGAAATATGTGGCTCATTTTTGTGGCATGTGCCAAAGAAAAATGATCTCAAGTACTGCACACATATACATGAAAAGTAGTCGACCATTTCTGGGGCTGCACTTGGCCAAAAAGGGTGCGCTTGGCCCGATTTGTTAAATACGAAATATCCGCTTAGTGTTTTATGGCCGGAAAACGTGATTGCGTGCGGTTTCGGAAAACGACTGGATTTTCTTGTTGGGTTTAACAACACTATTTAAATAATGGGCTTTTCATTGGATTGAATGCAGTTGAGCAAGGTACTGAAATATATATGTATATATATATAGAGCGAGATGGGAAGAGAGAGGGAAAAGTCTGAGGAAGGTAGACGAATAGAGAGAGTGAGAGAAGCGGATACTGAGAAATCGCAAAAAGATGTGGATAGTCGGAAAGAAATATAGTTATAGGTGTATATTTAAAGAGAGATACAGGGATATAAATATAGAGAGAGACACAGAGCGATAGAGAGTTATAGTTAGAGATAGAGAGAGATTATCTTTAGACAAATAGAGAGAGATTGTAAGAGATATGCAGATAGAGAGAATAATGTAAACAGATAGAGGGAGAGAGGTAGACTGAGATATATACAAATAAAGAGAGATAGAACCAGAATGATGCACACAGAAAAAGAGAGACAGATAGAAAGACTGATATATGTCTACATATATGTGTGTATTGAGTGTGAGAGAGATAAAAAGAAGACCTTTTTGCCTTTCCATATCCATCAGCCTTAGCACACATCTTTAATTATGCTAATGCACATTGGGCATTTAATCTTTGGTATTGGCAAACTTGCATAAAACAAACGCACAAAATTCTGCCCAAGCTTTAAAGAGTCGTTAAGCCACTAAAAAAAAAAACATAAAATCCACTATGCAACTATATTTGAGTTGTAGCATGCTTTTAGGGGCAGCATCTGTTTCAATTGTGGGCACCCTGCTGTCTGCTGGCTATGTTGATATGGAGCACACCTACTTGCCATCATCGACTCCTCTCCATTCCACGCATCTATGATTTATGATGCCGCCAGCATTTCGATTTTTGTATTGACTGAATAAACGCAGAATTCGCAACGCCTCCTGGCTCCTCTCTCTCTTTCTCTCTCTCCGTCTCTGACTCTCTCGCTCTCCTTTTCTCTGTTGCCTTTTTGGGGCTTATGAATATGTATCGATGAATGTTACGCTCCACTGAAAATGCACATGCACAACAGAAAGGAGGTGAGTATACATATTTGTTGCACTTGTGTGTGCTTTCAACAAACATAAACGCAAAATGCTATAAATATCAGCAGCCGCATTTTTGGGAATCATTTTGATATATTTAATTGATGCGTTTAAATGAATTCAATATTTATCTTTTGATATAATTGCAAATGATAGAGACCAGCAGAAATCAGAAGTAATTAATATAAAA